GGAGCACTATTGCCGGCTCCGTCGCCCTCAACCACCAGAATCCCTTCCTCTGCCGACACAGGGTCGCAGCCCACGGCAAACAGGCTGCCCACTTTGGTCGCCTTTTACGACCAGCAATGGGGTGCTGAGGACACATTCTTGTTTATCTTCCCCGGGTCCCCACGGGGAAGGTCTTTAGTAACCCATGCGTGCAGTTAAAGGTGACTAACGGGATCGGGAGGTCAGGCTCGCTGACTGACTTGGTTGATGCATGTCATCGATCCCAATTGCGTGGTTGGATGCTCATGATATTAATCACTGGATTGTCTGGTCCAGAGTCGATTATTTACAGACCGCCGTCATATAGCTGGAATATTGCTCAGTGCGACGTTAAACAACAAACCAACAACCATCTGCCCCAAATGAAGAATAAACTATTCTGCGTTAGCTGCAGAGGAAATACTGATAGAAACCGTTTCATTGCTGTTTTGAAAATTGTTTTATCCATATCACAGCGTCCAATAAATCTGTGTTTCATTTAAACTGTTATGGTAGATCTTTATATGATGAATTTTATTGATAACTTACATCATAAAAACTTTTTCTGGGGTGCACCCTACTTGTCTTTCATATTGTACTGTAAAACTAAATACTAATTGTAAATACTTTTTTGTCCATTCGTCTTCTGCATGCTGAGAGAAATAAATTTAACACCGCTTTAAACAGTATTTTCAGTTATATCACGGTGTGACATTTGTAAATACAATTTTACATATGGCATTGTTATTTAATAATAATAATTTTTTCTTGAACATGTTGAGTTGACTTTTTGATTTTTCATTAGTTAAGACAGACATGAGTGATTGACCCTGAAAGGGTACTTGTAAATCTACATATTACTCAGTTATTAAATTGTATTGCAAAAGTGGCTAAACATACATACATAGTGTGGTCTGTATTTTATTTATTCTGTTCATAGACCTATGGAATAAAATTTGTCAGGACATTGAACAGAAGTGATATGATATGGGTTTTATTCATTCTCAATGATTATGTTCATATCTTCAGCAATAAAAATATGAAACCCTTTGAAAAGAATAATTCTCTTTTTTTTTACCCAACCAATTTATTTAGTTTCACTCATTTTGGTACTTTGTTTTTTATTTCTAGTTCAACCACCAACCGTACAGTTATGAACAAATATATTATTTTTGAGAAGCAATTAACACATAAATCTAAATCACAAGGAAATATGCTAATGAATTAGTTTATCATTATATAAAATTCTTTCAGAGGTTTTGTTGACAGGATATATAACTAGTATATCTTGGAGCATTCGAAATTGGCACTCGTCCTGCAGTCCTCGCAAAAATGCCCAGTAGTTGAGGTATCATAAGGACTATTTTAAATTTGCCATTCATATTTTTACACAAACAGATAGGTGTACTGATTTTGTTTTAAATATTTGTATATGATGGCAATTCAACATGGAAAGTTAATTTATTTCGTGCAGGTAACGTTCATTTGTTGTTATCCATTGACAAAGGCAATAATTATTACTCATGGTCGAGGGGGGATAACTCTTCATATATTTTTTCAAAAAATCTTGAGCAGTGACTGTTGTTAACTATAACTTATATAACTCTAAAATAAAGACTAATTTATAAACATTTGGCAATAGGATGGCATTAAGTATTAATCTGAATGTCAAATTCATCTCAGAAATATAGGGGAGACCGAGGTGCACCCCAAACATGTGATTCTAAATGACCAGCATGTAATCATTATTATGAATTCAAAATGTCATTACTTTGACATTTGCTTTGGATTTGTTTCTTGAAATTTGATGAAATATCAATGAAACATGCTTTTTTTGTAGGTTCAATGACTGGTCTCCTTGACCTTCCAGTGAAGCTTATTGAGCTGATCTGCATATATCTCCCGGTCAAAGAATTACTTATATTCTGACATTTAATTAGTTGTTTCTTTGCGAAATAACTAGTTACGTACAGACAACATCTATGTATCCATATCTTTAATGTCCCAATCCACCTGGGGATGCATTGGGACGGGATTTTTTTTAAAAATCAGTGTCTCAGTTAATTTTATGTTTGTGAAATAATTATTTTGTTCAGTGATTCATTATTAAAGTGTTGATTAGGAGATGTGTCTAGCTAATTCTTTATTAATCCATTTCAAGTGGGATATAGACTGGATAATACAAATTGCACCCCGGTCTCACCTACTAAATCAGATTAATATAGTCATTTTTATACCTAACACTCAATGACGTTTTGGATATTATTCCCAACATAGTTTATTTACATCGCCTATGTCTTAACTGGTCTTCTGCGCTGAATGCAGTGTCAATTGCAAGTCGCGCGAATTATCGCGAGGAAATAGTCAATCGGACAATTTGACAGGATGGGCAAGATATCACATGTCGTCTTGGTCAGATTTCATTTTTGTCTCGGCGGTACTCAAATGTGCAAACCCATAAAGATAACCGATGGGGGATATCTGAAACTTACCCCTAAGATGCTCGATCACTGGTAGTTTTATTGAACCATCTGCATGAGGGATCACGTTAAATGTGTATGTCATGTGAGAGCAAGACACGAGTTACAAGCTAGGGTACAAGTTGGCAAGCGATCGGCAAGTGAAATTTGGAATTGAATATCAGTCGAAAAGTAAACCAGGACGGATAATCAAACGCCTTATTATTATTCAGATATCTTTATGTTAACTATTATTGATTGCATGTAATGTCAAATAAGTACATATCTCTGTTTCGGAACACATCTAATAAATGTCATATGGTTAGAACCATGAAGGTATTTCCTGTCAAATGTTATTCATTTCAAATAAGACCCGTGAAGAATCCGGGGTAGAATAGGTCTTCAGCAACCCATACTTGCCGTAAAAGGTGACTATGCTTGTCGTAAAAGGCGACTAACGGGATCCGGTGGTCAGGCTCGCTGACTTAAAGAAATTAGTTGATGCATGTCATCGATCCCAATTACGTGGATGGATGTGTATGATGTAAATCACTGGATTGTCTGTTCCATACTCGATTATTTACAGACCACAGTCATATTGTTTGTTGTTTAACGCCGCACTCAGCAATACTCAAGCTATATGACGGCGGTCTGCAAAATAATCGAGTCTGGACCAGACAATCCAGTGATCGTAATCATGAGCATCGATCCACGCAATTGGGTTTGGTTTGGTTGTAGAATAGGTTTTCAGCAACCCCTACTAGCCGTAAAAGGCGACTATGCTTGTCGTAAGAGGCGAATTTACTGACACTCACAGTACCAATTCCACGATACGTAATGCACCCCCAAATCATAAGGCCAAACTTCCTCCTCGATGGCGGACATATACAATCGCCAAGCCATTCCTCCCCAACCTTTTTCCAAACTTGTACACGACTGTCAAGTCACACAATTACTTTAAATTCGTCGCTAAATATCACACGTTTCCATCTATTCCCCCTACACCATGCTACACGATTTCTACGATTCACTTCTCGAATTCTGACAGACTTCTTTACGGAACGTTAATTAAATCCCAGTGAATGTAATTTTCTTTCAATTGTCCGCTTATTGAAAGGTCTATCCCTGGTCTCATTGAAAATATTTGTAATTTCATTTAAAGCTTTTCTGCGCTTCTTTTTCACGCAACGTGAAAGTCGTCGGCCATCCCGCACATCAAATTTCACAGGTCTTCCTCGTCTGGCTCGATTTTCCACATTTCCCCTATTTACATACCTCTCAATACATGAAAATACTGTGCTGGAGGGTATTCCCGTCATTCTGACAATTTCAGACCTTTTAATACCTACGTCATATAAAGACGCGATCCTTTCTTTTACAGCGGATGACAATTCTTTCGCTCGCCGACCCATGTTGTTTACATTCCCGGGCGATACAGACGACAAATGACGTCATAACTTCCTTCACGTGACTGTGACGTGCTATACCCTACTAGCTTAAAATCCGGTACCATCTCGAGCTGAAATTTGCAACCTCGCGCGATTTCTTGATTCACTGTCCAATACGTGATAACTACTGTGTTCGTTCTCCGAATACTTTTGGCGGAAAGCTGTAGCTGGAATATTGCGGGGTTCAACACCAAAACAACCAAAACAATCATGTTGACTGAAATAGATGGAATATTGCTGAGTGCATGCGGCGTTAAACAACAAACAAACTGAAAAAACAACTTTTGTGAAGCAGTTGCATGGTACGCGTGTATTGCCTTAATTATAGTGCTGTTGTATCGGGGCTACAACCAAGATTCGCATAGCGCCGTGTGGAAACTGTGCATTACAGAAGAAATATATTTTATTATTGTGTCACGCACTACATTTTAGATTTCACTTGACACATCATTAAAATACATATATATATATATATATATAAAAGGTAATGAAGACCCGTGAAGATCCGGGGTAGAATAGGTCTTCAACAACCCAAGCTTGCCGTTAAAGGCGACTAACGGGATCGGGTGGTCAGGCTCGCTGACTTGGTTGAAGCCTGTCTTCGATCCCAATTGCTTGGATCGATGCTCATGATATCAAACACTGGATTAATTGTCTGGTCCAGACTCGATTATGGGTGCGGCGATAAACAACAAACAAACCAAACCAGGCTTATGAGACAGGTAAAACACATTTTCTTTTTGATATAGCTTCCTAGTTATGTTGAAAGATCTTTTCACAATATGAATTCTCAGTTTTTTGGGTAAGTCGTTTCAAAGCGAAAACAGCGTTGAGCATTCTTCGTCAGGTAATCAAACTGTCAACGACAGAGGCTGGGCAGAGCAGCAAACATGACAGTATGTCATTACAAGATTTGAATTCAAACGTCACATACAAATTACGTTGTAATAAATAAAGGTCACTGACGTGTAACACGAACGCCAACTTCTTAAAATAACATTAATGATTGGGGATTGCACGTGGTCGTGTTCCCTGCAGCCAAATCGTGTGCGCATAATGTGTTGCGGTGTGAGACGCTCTGTAAGGCGTACATATCACACTTACCGTGGATTCTGACAGTCGTGATTTCGTTGCGCTCTGACACCAACGTCAAGGTGAGGCTTATATCAGCACAGTGCATGTCTTTATGTTGCGTGACGCTAGAACTGGGATGTGGTCGGTCTCTCGACCGGTTCACCGAAGTCTGCTTGTGTTGCTTCAACAGATTGTTTGCTTCGCATGTTCCTCTTCTATGTACATATTCACAACCAAAGTAAACATTTTAGTAATATTATTTGTTATATGTGCTTTTGTATATTAATGAAATGTTCGTTTGTTTATTTGTTGTTTAACGCCGCAATATTCCAGCTATATGAATAATCTAGTCTCGACCAGACAATCCAATGATTAACATCATGAGCATAGATCTACGCAACTGGGAATCGATAACATGCATCAACCAAGTCAGCGAGCCTGACCCCCCAAATCCCGCCTCTTACGACAAACATCGTCACCTTATGTAGCAACAAGGGTTGCTGAAGACCTATTCTACCCCGGATCTTCACGGGCCTATTGAAATTGAAATGTTACATACTTACATATTGCTGAAGTGATGACGTAAATCCTGCTGGGATATCATGCAGGAAGCAAGGCTACTGTAAGTTCCCATGATCCCCAGTGAGGTGGCCTAGCTTTGGTTACTGGTGGCCTATAGCCCGTGTTTTAAAACTGTATATATAATATTGTTATGCTCAAATATGTTTCATGAATTGTTTCTAAATATAGTATGCTCAAATATGTTTTACAACTTGTTTTTAAACAAAACTTTGCAAAAATGACTAAATTGTAAATATATTAACTTGGTCTCGTTGCTATATGGCTGAGATAATGCGACGCTAAATTTTAACTCACTCACTTAGATATTTCTCGTTATATATATGTTTCAATGTGTTCATGATCAGTGGTCCAGTATGGCCTTATCAATCCTGAGATTGTGTACAGTGATGAAGCTAAAAAACACCTATTCAGAGGCCATATCCCTCGGTATATGGTCTCTGGCCTATGTATTCAAATGTGCAAGCGTGTTGTTTCATACCAGTATAGACTATCCTAGTTCCCACTCTGTTATGTGCCAGAACAGGTTACGCGTATGTGTTCTCTGAAAAAATATTTTACCTCAGTTTTTTTTTTGTTTAACGCCGCACTCAGCAATATTCCAGCTATATGACGGCGGTCTGTAACTAATCGAGTCTAGACCAGACAATCCAGTGATTGACATCATGAGCATCGATCCACGCAATTGGGATCGATGACATGCATCAAACCAAGTCAGCGAGCCTGACCACCCGATCCCGTTAGTCGCCTTTTACGACAAGCATAGTCGCCTTTTACGGCAAGTATGGGTGGCTGAAGATCTATTCTACCCCGGAATCTTCACGGGTCTTTTACCTCAGTGCCCAGATCTGTATTTATCGTGAACTGTTTTGAACAAAGATGTGTGTATCGAAAAAGAATAGGTATTTACATATTGTGTAGGAAATGCTTGAATACAATTGTGAAAAAGAAACTTATACATAGCATTGATGCGCAGGGTATTTAAAGATGTTGCAACCAGGAGGAGAATGTGTTGACTCACTACTGGACTGACAGATTGCGCCCTCCAGGAGATAGGCACGTGAACAGTAATATCGCTGTGTGTCTCATTCTGATTCTTGACATAGTGTGTCAGTTATATGGGCTGAAGTCCCGCAGCGATGCATGTTTGTTGGTTGGTTGGTTTGTTGTTTTACGCCGCACTCAGCAATATTCCTGCTATATGACGGCAGTCTGAAAATAATCGAGTCTGGACCAAACAATCCAGTGGTTGACATCATGAACATCGATCCACGCCGTTGGGATCGATGACATGCATCAACCAAGTCAGCGAGCCTGACCAACCGATCCCGTTGATCGCCTTTTACGACAAGCATAGTCGCCTTTTACGGCAAGCATGGGTTGCTGAAGACCCATAAAAGAATGTTGTGTTGTGGATCTTTTTCCCGATTGTCAAACCAGTAAAAAAATATAAAAAATATATCTTCACCTGAATAGTTTTAACACAAATCGGGATAAAATGTGTTTTTGTTCCAGGTTATCTAACAACAGTCGGCTACAGGATGACATCGTGGGCGTGGTTGTCGCTGCTTCTGCTGATGTTGCTAGCGGAAGGGGAGACGCTGAAGAGCGGCCATGCTCCCCGCTGGTTGGTCAATCTGTTCTGCAAGAGGTCATCAGGTCTGACTCAGGTCCCCTGGGACTGCACGGGGTACCTCCACTGCTACACCCAGGGCATCATGACCCAGGGAGTTTGGATCAATTGTCCCACATCACTGAGATTCGATCCTACGTCTCAGAACTGTGTCAGGTTTTCACCTTCGTGTATCAACAAGGAAGGTGAGTACCACAATTATTTAGCGATCCATTGTTTTGCTTTTGCGCCTAGTAGAGTCTGTAGACTCGTGAAAATCCGGGGTAGAATAGGTCTTCAGCAACCCATACTTGCCGTAAAAGGCGACTATGCTTGTCGTAAAAGGCGACTAACGGGATCGGGTGGTCAGGCTCGCTGACTTGGTTTGATGCATGTCATCGATCCCAATTGCGTGGATAGATGTTCATGCTGTCAATCGCTGGATTGTCTGGTCCAGACTCGATTATTTACAGACCGCCGTCATATGGCTGGAATATTGCTGAGTGCGGCGTTAAAAACAAACCAAGTATAATCGAGAATGATAATTATCTGGCGTTGACGGTTTGAATTTATCTACAGAAAATTGAAACAGTGTCGTTTATGTGGTTGAATTAGTTGCTTACGTGGGGCACGGCTGGACAGACGGTGTGTCAGGATCCGCTTCTATTGAGCTTCATATTCATATCGATTATGACCCTTCGGCTGGACATCCCATTTTTATATTGTGTTGTTCATTAATACTTAATGCTTTTAAATGTTCCGCAACTAGTTTTAAATCTTATCTGTGATATTCTAGTTATCATACTGTCCTTCGATGACAGGTTTTTATAAAGTCTAAATGTATGTATATTTAATGTATAACTTCTCGTCACGGTATGGCTGAATATTGCCGATGTGACGTTAATTATTAACTCACTCAACTCACCCCAATTGTGTGGATCGATGCTCATGATGTCAACCACTGGATTGTCTGGTCCAGAATCGATTATTTACAGACCGCCGTCATAAAGCTGGAATATTGCTGAGTGTGGCGTTAAACATCAGACAAACCAAACCAAACAAACCTAATCAAATATTCTGTATCTCTGTTATTTCAGTTATTGCACGCAGATACTGTCGTATCTACAACCACTTACAGTTTCCTCATCCGGACAGTTGTGCAATGTTTTACGACTGTTCCCGTAAAACGGACAACACGACCTTTGGACTGAAGGTCTACGAGAACGAATGCCCCTACCCCACGTTGTTTGACCCAGAGCTTGCAACATGCAGAGAAAATCATCCGAATAACGAAATATCCTGCAACAACCCCCCTCCCACTAAGTGTAAGTAACTACAGGTCCGACCCGTGAAGACAGGTCCGACCCGGGGTAGAATAGGTCTGCAGCAGCCCATGCTTGCCGTAAAAGGCGACTATGCTTGTCGTAAGAGACGACTAACGAGACCGGGCGATCAGGCTCTGACTTTGTCATCGTATCCCAATTGCATAGATGATGCTCATGATGTCAATCACTGGATTGTCTGGTCCAGAGTCGATTTATTTACAGACCGCCGTATTGCTGAGTGCGGCGTTAAACAACAAACAAGGAAGCAAGCAAAGTAATGTCACAGAGCTGTGCCCCGGAGACTAGGATGTGTCATTTAATATACATAAAGTAATAATTGTAAACGTGGTAAAAGATCACAGTGACCCGTGAAGATCCGGGTAAAACAGGTCTTCAGCAACCCACTCTTGCCATAAAAGGCGACTATGCTTGTCGTAAAAGGCGACTAACGGGATCGGGTGGTCAGGCTCGCTAAATTGGTTGATACATGTCATCGATCCCAATTGCGTGGATCGATGCTCATGATGTCAATCACTGGATTGTCTGGTCCAGACTCGATTATTTTACAGACCGCCGTCATTTAGCTGGAATATTGCTGAGTGCGGTGTTAAACAACAAACAAACAAAGATCACAGTTTTATTATTATCAGCAGCTAAACGTAACTAATGAGGGCCAATTTAAAAGATCAAGAACCCAATTGCCACTAACAATGATCACAGATTAATAAGCCAGAACAAATATCGAAGCTGATTTGTGAAACAGCTGTATAAGAGCTATTGGGAGCGGTGGGGTAGCCTACTAGATAAAGCCGAAGACCCAGGTTCGATTCCCGACGTGGGTACAATGTGGGAAGCCCATTTCTGGTGTCCCCCGCCGTGATATTGCTGGAATATTGCTAAAAGCGGCGTATGGTGCGTAACACCATACTTACTTACTCACTCATTATAACAGCTATTACAAAAGACAGCTAAATCAACACTCTAACAAGTGAGTGAGTGAGTATGGTTTTACGCCGCTTTTAGCAATATTCCAGCAATATCACGGCGGGGGTCACCAGAAATGGGCTTCACACTCTAACAAGACAGTCGACAAACCGCACAGACAGCCAATTAAGCCGGATGTGACTAATTAACATCTGGGAGTTAATTAACTCAATGCTTAACTGAGCGAATAACCTCGTCTTGGTTGGTTAGATAGGACCCGTGAAGATTCCGGGGTGGAATAGGTCTTCAGGAACCCATGCTTGCCGTAAAAGGTGACTATGCTTGTCGTAAAAGGCGACTAACGGGATCGGGTGGTCAGGCTCGCTGACTTGGTTGAAGCATGTCATCGATCCCAATTGCGTGGATCGATGCTTATGATATTAATCACTGGATTGTCTGGTCCAGACTCGATTATTTACAGACCGCCGTCCTATTATCTGGAATATTGCTGAGTGCGGCGTAAAACAACAAACCAACCAACCAACCAACCAACTTGGTAAGATAGGGAGAAATGCGCACTGAGAGCCCATCCCTAAAATAAGTCTCTTGTACAATTAAACAACAAACAAACAAACAACACACTCTTCCTCGCCATGAAATGCTGTAGCATGGTGAGCTAACAGAGTTTTGCTTTTTAGAATAGGGAAAACCCGAACAGCAGACTAACTACTAACGCAATATGGGAGATGTATAGACAAAATATACTAAAATATACCAGAACATAAACTATACAACGGTATCATTAAACATTTACAGCCAGATATTTACAATTAATAAGGTGGCAAAAATGACCATACATACATGAGAAATATCTCCCTAGTATGATATAATCCCGCTACTGCGCGAAAATCAAAGTTTCAAACACTTTCAACACTGAATAAGCTCTTATACATATATGAGATAACATGTATCAAATCAGGACGCGATGAAGATATGCGACTAAACTGCTAGAGAATAAAATTAACGGGTTACAAATTCTCTAACGAAACGCTTATGAACGTAAATATCCCGAGCTGTGCCGGACGGTCCCGAACTGTGCCGACCGCCGGATAGTCAAGTGGGGAAAACGTTATAGTCACTGGACCGTTACGACCCGGTGACACTAATAAACTACATATAAAAGAAATTTATTTCCCACGATCCAGCCAAAAAATGATGCTGCAGGACGTAATTTAATGTACAATAGGGATTTTCACACAAAGGTATCTTTTTTTTTTACTACCTATGCAGTATCAAATAGTTTAGCTATCTGATGAAACCCGTGAAGATCCGGGTTAAACTTGGTCTTCAGCAACCCATGCTGGTCGTAAGAGGCGACTAACGGGATCAGATGGTCAGGCTCGCTGACTTGGTTGATGCACGTCATCGTATCCCAATTGCGTATATCGATGCGCATGGTGCCAATCACTGGATTGTCTGGTCCAGACTCGATTATTCACAGACCGTCGTCAAGAAGCTGGAATATTGCTTAGTAACGCGTTAATCAATCAATCTAAAGGGCGTTTCTGTAATGACTGACAAATGTTGACAAAATACTATTTTGTCAATGCTGAAAAGATTATCAGAATGACATAAATATGTTTATGACATGATGCACTCAATTATTTTTATATTAATTACTGTGAGTTAAAAAACTACATATTGTTGATATATTAAGAAGTATATATTTCATTCTTTCATTCATTCTTTCATCGGTGGGCGGTCGGGTAGCCTTGTGGTTAAAGCTTCGCTCGTCACACCGAAGACCCGGGTTCGATTCCCGACATGGGTACAATGTGTGAAGCTCATTTTTGGTGTCCCCCGCCGTGATATTGCTGGAATATTGCTTAAAGCGGCGTAAAACCATACTCACTCACTCATTCATCCATATATTCATTCATTCATCCATATATTCATTCCTTCATTTATTTTACCGTTCACTTTTGTCCTGTTTCCAGGTGATTACAAGACAGAGTGTGTCTCTGTGTCCAGTCAGTGTGTACAAGATGGCTATGCACCCAAACCCGGAACTATCTACTCACCTGAACACATCCTCTGTAAAGGAGGGAAAATTTTGTCAAATTTAATATGTACATTTTCAGAGGAAGTCTTCGATCCAGTCGACAAAACATGCACATCCAATTATCAAAGTAAGTAAACTGATTAGAGCTGTATTGAAGAGAGTATGAAGAGACTTTAGTTTAGAAATATCCAAAACATATCACGGCTCGGGTACCATTCCCCATCTGATTACAATGCATGAGTTTATTCGCGGCATTCCAGCTGGATTATTGATAAAAGTGAGTCAAACGGTAGTCACTCATTCTCCTGGTGTCTCGGCATAAATTGCATTGGCCAAATCCAACATTCATTCGTGAGTATTCAAAAAATGTATTAAATAATTTCTTTATAATCATGCGTTTATGATAAGCACACTCACATATTGTAATGAATAGATAGTATGTATACTCAACAAATAAAGTTAGGGATCATGATTATTGTATGGATTTCTTTTGTAGTGAAGACTGAGAACACAATTTCATAAAAAATATATCCAAAAAATATTAGTGATCCCTAATTTTTGTTGTTAAGTATATATCTTTCTTCTACAAATACACGCATGTACGTCAATAATAATTTTCCATTAAAACTCTTTTAACTCACGTGGAAAATGCAGAGCTCATAGTTCCAAATATCACATGATTATTATATAACTGCAACATTTTCTGACTACGGCACAAAATAAAGTCACTCAATTAGAATAATTATTAAATAGCTAAGTAAATATCTTATTTAAATCAAATCGTTTAGTCTGATACTCTACCTCTCTGCGTGACGATCTGAGGACACCAACAAACAACGTCGTGTCAGGTCAACTGTCTTACCAGCCAATCAGCTAGGCCTCTTAATTCTCGGTCAGGCTGAGCGAAGCCTTCAAACCACACATATCTGAGTTATGTGTCTCGAAAACGAACTAAAACGACAAGTTCCGAATGTAAATTATTAAGGCTGCGCCATAATATTGTTGTGGATATTTAATACACCATGTTGTTTCTGAACGACATGGCATCTGCATTCAAAAGAGAGAACAATGACATTTCGAATCGAGGTGGTACAAAAATGAAGTCGAATCATTTTAGGAAGAAGACATCTGAACCCACTCAGCCTTCTTTTTGACTAGGCAACCTTCTGTGGAGATGTCACGCAGCGAGTGAGTTACATCGGCAATATTTCAGCCATATCGTGACATGGATCTTCACGCAGAAAGGTGTATATGAGAATAATATCAAAGTTTAATGAGATTGAACTAAGTAATAAATGTATGCCCAAATGTATGCCGTATACCCGTATACTCGTGAAGATCCCGGGTTAGAATAGGTCTTCAGCAACCCATGCTTGCCGTAAAAGGTGACTATGCTTGTCGTAAAAGGCGACAAACGGGATCGGATGGTCAGGCTCGCTGAATTGCATGTCATCGATCCCAATTGCGTGGATCGATGCGCATGATATTAATCACTGGAGTGTCTGGTCCAGACTCGATTATTTACAGACCGCCGTCATATAGCTGGCATATTGCTGAGTGCGGCGTTAAACAACAACAAACAAACACACGTTGGAATAGTTTAAGTATCAGATGGTTTCAAGTAAGAAACTAAATACACTCCGGAAACTCGCCCATCGAATGATGTTGTTGGGAACATGAATATGTAGACACATTAGCATTATTCATGCTGCTATATAACCAGGGCAGTTGCAAGTCCGGGTGATGTCGCTGGGATATTTTCACAAACTGCACCTATTGTTTGAGATACCAGGTTGATCAGGCGTGCTTAATCCCCAAACACTAGTGGATTATTAGGGTTATCGTTCTATTCCTGGTCTTTGATTTGGGACATTTTATATATACGAAAATAGATTGAAAGTTACACAGTCAGCGATATACTAGTATAACATGAAGCTTGTCATTTATAGAATGTTCAAAACGGCATGCGTTACCTTTGTCACAATGTTAACCGTAAACTTTTTAAACTTAAAAATGCAAGTTGAAATAGGATATTCATCAGCTAGTCACGCATTTTGTTTTTGCAAATGTCATTTTTTTTGTAATTGTCTTAAGTTTGTTTAATGTACATATTTACCCTGACACCTGTCCGGTGAGTCCTAAGGCGGTATTTAATGTATCCTGTCCTCAGTCAGTGTGGAGTTGTTGCTGTTGCTAACACGATCTGCACGCCAACTTTACCGGGTCGTCGCCGTGTTCTGTATGACAACACGCACATACCCTAGGGCAAGATCCCAAGTGCAGCATGGTTGAGGTTGTGTTACTTGCCGAAGGTTCGTCTAGTTCAAGCATATATTGCTTGGCGTGTGGCCTTTGCAATCGCAAGGGATTCACATGATCAAAGCGTAAATCTGAAAGATCTCTTTTCCCGTGTCAGCGGGCATCTTTTCATCAGCTATTTGAAAGAAATTGGTCTGTATAATACATTTTAAAAATGTATGTGAATAATTAAATGTTTGTTTGTGAATTTGGTGTGATGCTATTATCTACTGACTTTATTGAAGGCTCTGTCCAGGGGGTTAAAGTATCGTAAAATTATTGCCCCCCAGTGTGACACGTAATCCTAGCATAATCGATGTAACTATCACCAACCAGTGTTTTTAAGCCAACTCGTTGTTGAGTATTTTTTAATATTGGCTAGTATTGTTCACAACCACCAGTGGCTAAAGTGATGACGTAAATCCTGCTGGGTATCATGCAGGTAGCAGAGGTACTGTAAGTCCCCATGATCCCCAGCGAGGTGGTCTAGCTTTGGTTACTGGTGGCCTATAGCCCGTGTTTTAAAACTGTATATATAATATTGTTATGCTCAAATATGTTTCATGAATTGTTTCTAAATATATTTTTCTCAAATATGTTTCACAACTTGTTTTTAAATACGAATTTGCATTTATAACTAAATTGTGAATATATTATCTTGGTCACGTCGCTATATGGCTGAAATAATGCCGATGAGACGTTAAATTTTAACTCACTCACTCATGTAGTTCAATGACCTTAACTATTGTAGAATCGCAATTTTAAAATAACAGTTTCGAAGGGAGTTATATTTGAAAAACTTTACAAAATAATCAAGAATAAAGTATTCGTTACATCAAAAACATGAATACAATTCTTCCACATATTAGTGATTTTTCATGACAAGACATCATGCGCTAATTACCGTGATCTGCACAATCCAATTCAACTCTGGAACGCAAGGAAATACCCACTCTCCTTCCTAGCGCGTGACACCTTCGTTACATTTCCGGTAACGTCGCTGCCACCAGTGTGGGCGCGGCCATTACAAGAATCTTGAAATTCGACCTCTAACCCCAAATGAAGTAACGTTTGTACTTTTATTTATGTCTTTGGGAATGCAATCATAGTAAATTTGAAAAGGTTTACGCCTGACCATATTTCCAAGATAAATTTACATTTTGGTTTGTTTTATGAGATTGGTTCGAGATAACCGACGAACGGAAAATCAGCCACAATCAGCTCCCTTACATTCTTACTACACCAATTACATTTGTGATGAAACAGAAATTCAAATTGACAAACAAAGACAACAATTTAGCAGGGTAAGAGTATTGGGCGTCAGGGCAGTCATCACTTGTTTGTAAACATAAGGGTCAGTGGGTTGCGTGTTCAACTCCAAGAATGGTGGGTAGAATAGGTCTTCAGCAACCCATGCTTGCCGTAAAAGGTGACTTTGCTTGTCGTAAGAGGCGACTAACGGGATCGGGTGGTCAGGCTCACTGACTTGGTTGATGCATGTCATCGATCCCAATTGCGTGGATCGATGCTCATGATTTCAATCACTGGATTGTCTGGTCCAGACTCGATTATTTACAGACCGCCGTCATATAGCTCGAATATTGCTGAGTGCGGCGTTAAACAACAAACCAACCAACCAACCAACCAACCAAGAATGGTTGTAGCCAACTGTCACATTTAGGAGCCTTGGTGGCAGCGATAGTATAGATAGGTCCGCGAGAGGTTGGGAAATACTGTATAAAGGGACGTCACCCAACGTTTTAGAATGATTTGTCTCTGATGGGGATGTGAGTTGGGAATCAACACTCACAACACCATTCAAGCAGTGTTTAAAATACCCGCCTGCCCGACAGTTCGAGACGGTCTATTTTGCTGACGGAAGGTCATTTGGGAAGATGTGCACGCCTGATGGTCGAGGGTTACGAAGTTGACAGTCCACCAGTTTATTGTTATATTCTGAGAACTTACATAAGATTCCGGGGTAGAATAGGTCTTCAGCAACCCATGCTTGCCGTAAAAGGTGAATATGCTTGTCGTAAAAGGCGACTAACGGGATCGGATGGTCAGGCTCGCTGACTTGGTTGATGCATGTCATCGATCCTAATTGGGTGGATCGATGCTCATGATATCAATCACTGGATTGTCTGGTCCAGACTCGATTATTTACAGACCGCTGTCATATTGCTGGAATATTGCTGAGTGCGGCGTTAAACAACAAACAAACTAAAGAAATCTTAACTATACTTTCAATTCCAGAATCAATCAGCACCTACTGCCGTATGCACCCCTCTGCCAAGTTCGGGGACCCAAGGAACTGCGCTCGTTATTACGACTGCAGTACGAGGTACCACCACTTCGGGCTGAAGCCCTACCAGTCGGAGTGCCAGTACATGCACCTGTATGACGAGAGCAGCGCCACGTGTCAGCTGTTTGACATGATCAAAACCCCGTGTGGCAACAAGTTTGAGCCGAAATCCCCCTGTAAGTACACAAAAAACATGTGTCAGAAACTGAATGGAAATACGATGCCTAACATCAATTTAGAAAATCAAACGTGTGATCAGTTTGCATAGTGTGACTCTGAGATGATTTATAGATGCCAAGCTCCTTCCAATCTCTGTATCGTGACCAAATATCGGATTGCAGGACATCCTCCGTTATCTAGGCCAATCTTTTGTGTGGACAGAGTCAAGATTGTGTTTCTGTGCACGTTGAACTGGCGTGTCACTTCCTGTGGCAATGGGTCGCATTGCATGGAGTGAGTGAGTGAGTGAGTGAGCATGTTTTTACGCCGTTTTTAGCAATATTCAAGCAATATCACGGCGGGGGATCTCAGAAATGGGCTTCACACATTGTACCCATGTCGGGAATCAAACCCAGGCCTTCGGCGTGACGAGTGAGCGCATTAGCCACTGGGCTACCCCGTCGCCCTGCATTGCATGAAAAGGTAGACAATTGAAAAGGTACAATTCATGACCACTTACTCTTTTGTATGTACAGTACTTGTTATATCGAGCTGTCGATCCAATGTTTGTAGATATCGACCCTTCGATCATTCAATTGTTCCAGCTTCGATCATCGTCGATAATTGTGGAATCTCTGAAGACGATGAACCATGAACATTTGAGTGTTTTTCTTGTCAACTGACAAAGAGAACCCAAAAAGCCTGAATACTGTTTTTTTTTTATCCCGGTAACATACCCATACTCCACAAAATGTCTTCCACTTCAAACTTGTGATTTTGAACCAAATCATTCTTGATTAACATGGATGTGCTTGGGTATGCTGTTTCATGTCATTCTGAGATTGAACCCCCATTACAAAATGTGAAAAAAGTGGTCGTTACAGGAACATTTGTTGCTCAGGATATATATCAGATTGTAAAAGGACAGATCACGGACAGACGGCAGATAAACAACTGACGATGGACAACTGATTTTGTCATGCGCCTACCCAACATGGAATAACACGACAATGATAAAAAGTTCCTGCAGATACATGTTTCGATCCGTGAAGATCCGGGGTAGAATAGATCTTAAGCAACCCATGCTGGCCGTAAAAGGCGACTATGCTTGTCGTAAGAGGCGACAAACGGGATCGGGTGGTCATGCTCGCTGACTTGGTTGAGGCATGCCAGCTGCTCATGATGTAAATCACTGGATTGTCTGGTCCAGAACTGATGATTTTACAGACCGCCGTCATTGAGTGCGGCGTTACACAATAAACATTCAAAACAAACATGTTGTTTCACATGAAACTGATTTGTTCAGGCGAGTACAGGATAGGACGGTGTCTGGGTCGAGAGTATTGCATGGCGTGTTCCGCTTCCTGTGTTGGGCAACCGGATGGGGAAATCCCGTATCCCGGCATCCCTCGCACGCGCTACCATCTGTTCTGCAGAGGAGAGAGGACGGTGGAGATTCAAGAATGTCCCAAGGGATATATCTTCCACCCAAAAGTGAAGGACTGTGTGCCGGACGTTGAGGAAAGTATGCATGTGTTCATTATATTGCTAAATCTGAATATAGAGAATCGAGAAATATGGATATGTTCCCCAGCTTTTACCAAAAAGGAGTTAAGGACTACCGTGCCCGATTCTTTCACATCACTATCTAGTTAATATGTCATGCCACCCGATTCTTTCACATTACTGTCTACTTAATCTGTCATGGCACCGATTCTTTCACATTACTGTCTAGTTAACCTGTCATGCCACCGATTCTTTCACATTACTATCTAGTTAATCTGTCGTGTCACCGATTCTTTCACGTTACTATCTAGCTAACCCCATCATGGCAGCTATTCTTTCATATTACTCTCTAGTTAATCTGTCATGCCACCCGATTATTTCACATTACTATCTAGTAAATCCGTCATGCCACCCGATTATTTCACATTACTATCCAGTTAATCTGTCATGCCATCCGATTATTTCACATTACTATCTAGTTAATCTGTCATGCCACCCGATTATTTCACATTACTATAGTTAATCTGTCATGCTATCCGATTATTTCACATTACTTTCTAGTTAATCTGTCATGGCAGCAATTATTTCACATTGCTATAGTTTATCTGTCATGGCAGCAATTATTTCACATTACTATAGTTAATCTGTCATGGCAGCAATTATTTCACATTACTATAGTTTATCTGTCATGGCACCCGATTATTTCACATTACTATCTAGTTAATCTGTCATGGCAGCGATTATTTCACATTACTATAGTTAATCTGTCATGGCAGCAATTATTTCACATTACTATAGTTTATCTGTCATGGCACCCGATTATTTCACATTACTATCTAGTTAATCTGTCATGGCAGCGATTATTTCACATTACTATAGTTAATCTGTCATGGCAGCAATTATTTCACATTACTATAGTTAATCTGTCAGTGCAGCAATTATTTCGGATTACTATAGTTAATCTGTCATGGCAGCAATTATTTCACATTACTATAGTTAATCTGTCAGTGCAGCAATTATTTCACATTACTATCTAGTTAATCTGTCATGGCAGCAATTATTTCACATTACTATCTAGTTAATCTGTCATGGCAGCGATTATTTTACATTACTATAGTTAATATGTCATGGCAGCAATTATTTCACATTACTATAGTTAATCTGTCATGGCAGCAATTATTTCACATTACTATAGTTAATCTGTCATGGCAGCAATTATTTCACATTACTATCTAGTTAATCTGTCATGGCAGCAATTATTTCACATTACTATAGTTAATCTGTCATAGCAGCAATTATTTCACATTACTATAGTTAATCTGTCATGGCAGCAATTATTTCACACTACTATAGTTAATCTGTCATGGCACCCGACTATTTCACATTATTATCTAGTTAATCTGTCATGGCAGCGATTATTTAAAATTACTTTAGTTAATCTCTCATGACATGACCGGTTACAAATAAAGAATCCGGCGGTTCTTAACTTGTTTTGGTAGTGTAGACGTTTCGCGAGTCCGAGTATCTATTATGTCAGTGATGACAGGAAGACTACTCTGAGACAAGTCAATTCTTCCTTTCTATCAACATAAGTTTAAGTATTTGCATTACGTTCTTGGCTTTTAAAGCAGCGCCAACAATGTCTAAAATGAAGGTGATTATAGTGAAACATTCATACCAAATAGCATTTGGACCCGTGAAGATTCCGGGGTAGAATAGGTCTTCAGCAACCCATGCTTGCCGTAAAAGGTGACTATGCTTGTAAAAGGCGACTAACGGGATCGGGTGGTCAGGCTCGCTGACTTGGTTGATACATGTTATCGATCCCAATTGCGTGGATCGATGCTCATGATATTAATCACTGGATTGTCTGGTCAAGACTCGATTATTTACAGACCGCCGTCATATAGGTGGAATATTGCTGAGTGCAGCGTTAAACAACAAACCAAACCAAACCAAACATACGCAACTACCCCGTAATGCAGCGGCACTCTACAAATGTACTGTATGTCCATTGCGCCCAAAGAGCCTTAAATAGTCTCACTTTAGTAATACAGTAAAGTACGTTTATAACGAACTGACCGATATAACGAACTTTTTTAGTCCCGACCATTTGTTGTATAAATGCTGTATATATGCCTATAACGAACTACGATTATTACGACCTAAAATAAGTGGTCCCTTTGAGTTCGTTATAACCGTAGTTTACTATAGTTATGTTGTTCCAACAGTCACGACAGCACCAGCAACAACTACTACAAAGGCAACAACTACAAAAATGACTACTCAGTTGACAACAACAACAACAACAACAACAACTACAACACAGCCCCCAACAACTACCACACCTACATCTACAACAACGTCCACGTCAACTACCACGGCCTCGTTTTCAACACCCCCTCCTATGTGCTCTTGTCGGGAAGAGATGACGCCATTGTTTCAGAGGCTGGACAACCTTACTTCCATCACCCACGCCTTGATGCAGCAAATAAAACCCTCCGGTAATGGCTTCTCAAATATTCTCAACTTTTGTTGCTTCCCAGGCTCGATAAGTGAAGCGTGTTGCGTCACCTACTTGTTGTTTCTAAATACAAAATACAAAATATCAATGCCAGAGAATACCCAGTCTCGATTATCAGTATTCGACCCGTGAAGATTCCGGGGTAGATTAGGTCTTCAGCAACCCATGCTTGCCGTAAAAGGTAAGTATGCTTGTCGTAAAAGGCGACTAACGGGATCGGGGGGTCAGGCTCGCTGACTTGGTTGATGCATGTCATCGATCCACGCAATTGGGATGCTTATGATATTAACCACTGGATTGTCTGGTCCGGGCTCAATTATTTACAGACCGCCGTCACATAGCTGGAATATTGCTGAGTGCGGCGTTAAACAACAAACCAACCATAGATTCCATTCGGGAGAACGTTCTCTCGGCCTCTTAAAACTCATCGTTGACCTTTATGTCTTTTAGTGGTCGTTCCTGTTCCAACTAGTATCATCTCCCTTGTTTGTATATAAAAACAGAAATCAGCAGCGAACATGGATTTTATTCGTGTATATTTAAAATGAAATCAGTAACGGTTACAGCCTGGAATTTATTCCATGTAAAATATGCTTGTCATTGCGACAAAATTGGCCAGGTTGTTAAACTTGGTGAATTTGTTGAGTGCAATTTATCGTACCTTGTCGCCATTAGACGTTGCTTATACTATCAATCACTGGTATGTCTGACCCAAGCTCGTTTATTTACAGGCACCCGTGATACAGCTGGAATATTGCTGACTGCGGCGTAAAACAATAAACATAAATAGCCTTTGATGTGTCAATATTTTAATTTTTATGTTGTAATCAGTGTCTTAAATGTTGCAGCTAGGAGTCCCTTTGACTGTCTGTCCCCTCCGACCCCTGACGGAGCAGTGACTCGGGTGTAGTATATTTAATTTCCTTTATTCCAGATTCTGAACACACACTGTTGATGTCATGTCAACCCTGTTAGCGTCAGTATACGGTTTTGAAGAGCGAAACGCTTCATTATGACTATTACAATCGTGTGTGTTATCCAGTGCATGTTTAAGAAACTCTCGCTGGCGAAATATAAAAGTCATATAGTTAATATTCAATACGACAAGCTCATGTGAAAATATATGTATGTATGTTACTGTCAACGTGTAATGTAAATTCAGTATGTTCGTCAGATCTGATTCAATCAGGAACAAATTGACTGAAAAAAATCAGTCCATATATTTGACAGAGCCTCCGAAAAGTCGAAGGGGCTTAAAAAACCCATTACAATGTGAGTAATCATGCTAGGATTAGAAGCAAAAGAATGTACGTTTTCTTTTAATCCTGCTACAGTACCAGGTTGATGAAAACGACATCAAAATGTTTTGGAAGTCATTATCATAATCAAATATGAATGGACATATTTTACAGGCAATTTATGAAATGACTACATTTTTTAGTCGTTTTGTAAAATTTGCACATTAATTAAAACATATATACATGTAGTTCTCGTGTATAATTATTTCGTTTTGCCTCCCAATTAATAAGGTGTGATACGATAATTAATTTATTAAGGCCTCAAAATTAATAAGGTGTGATACGATAATCAATTCATTATTAAAGTAATGACGACATCTTCTCCAGCTGACGTACGAGGGCCAGGAGGCTGTAGCAAGGTATACATGTGTCAGTGAACACTACGGCGTCTGTGACGGTAACGACGTGAGCAGATGCAGGAACAACGACGTCTGGACCGCCCCTCCTGGGAAGTGTGGACGTGTGGTGTGGCAGATACGAGAAGATGAGGTTGGTGTTCACTGCAACCCCATTCCTTCTGTTTGAGTGAGTGAGTTAGGTTTAACGCCGGTCTGAACAGTTTTTCAGTTATATCACGGCGTGTGATGTGGGAGGAACGTCCGAAGTGATGTAAATCTTAGACGTTTGCAGTTTTGTTGAAAAAAACCAAAAACACATTTCTATAATCAAAAGAAATCTCTGCATGAAGCAGAGTCGATTGGACGATTCCGATTATATCATAACCATGTGTTTATGAATCAATGTATCAAAAAGTGACGGTACCAGGTGTACGCGAATAGATGAGCGTATGATGCCCACATGTCACACCCGTCACAAACACATGCAAAGACAAGTCAATTGTTCACCTGAAAAACACGGGATTTACATCGGATATATTTTTTGTCACTGATGAAAGTTTTTTGAAAGCTTTACTGAGGCCTTGAATGTTGTAACCTTCATCGTATGACGCACTTTGAAATCGTGGAAGAGAGAGTATGCTCGAGTGTACCTCAATGGCTAGACCCGTGAAGAATAGGTCTTCAGCAACCCATGCTTGTCGTAAAAGGCAACTTTGCTTGTCGTAATAGGTGACTAATGGGATCGAGTTGTCAGGCTCGCTGACTTGGTTGATGCATGTCATCGATCCCAATTGCGTGTATGGATACTCATGATATTGATCACTGGATTGTCTGGTCCAGACTCGATTATTTACAGACCGCCGTCATATAGCTGGAATATTGCTGAGTGTGGCGTTAAACAACAAACCAACCAACCCAAAACCTCAATAGCTAAGAAATATAACACCAAAAGCTAGAGCTGTTGGAATATTGCTCGACATAAAGGGAATGTTGACAACTGAAACATTATGGTTATTGAACGACATAACTCTCAAGTACAATCGGTATTGGAGGAGACAGATGCGTTTTACAACGTAAGAAACGCCACAGAATGAGACTATTACAACATATGTGGCTGGGAAGAAATATATTTGTTGCGACATCATTATCCTAAATATCTTTAATCCTGTTAAACTCTTTCTTCGTGAAGTATAGATTATAGTACTTGGATGAAGTCCTATCCCGGACTCACATTCTCAGATTGAGGCACACAAACACACAATCGTCAGCACACAAACACAGCGATCTAACCCACTCAGCAACCGAGGCTTCCATAACAATGAAAGTCCGACATCTGGTAGTCTAGATCACCTACTTTGTGTACCCCTCTGATAAGTGTAACATGGCACTACTCCCATGGCTGCCTACGAATACACAATGCCATTAAATGCCATAACATGTTGTTATGAATATGCCGACAGTCTTAACAGTAGTACAAACTGAGGTCACAATAAAAACTGAATGATTTGTTTTTGCAGAGCGTGGGTCGATACCTACTGACATTAGATTGTCCTCCAATCGCAAACAGCTCGATATTACTGGTACTGGACACACAAAACGAGTAAGTGGTCATGAATTTTACGTTTTCAATTTGTCCTCTTTTCATGCACTGCGATCTAACTGCCTGCGCATGCTGTTGTTTGTTTGCTACCCCCACATTTGGAGTGAGTGAGTGAGTGAGTGAGTGAGTATTGTTTTACGCCGCTTTTAGCAATATTCCAGCAATATCACGGCGGGGGACACCAGAAATGGGCTTCACACATTGTACCCATGTCGGGAATTGAACCCGGGTCTTCGGCGTGACGAGCGAATGCTTTAACCACTAGGCTACCCGACCGCCCATGATATCAATCACTGGATTGTCTGGTCCAGACGACAGTGTTTACCTATAGCTGTGGAGATAATCATAAAACAACAAGAAATATTGCGTAGATCGTTTTCATGCTTTCAGTGACTGCTTTGCCAGACCATGTATACTAATACTCAAGAACGAAAGTTAGGGACCATGAACTAGTCTTAAGTACCGTACACATTCAAATAAACTCAGTCTTCACCACTAAAATATCACCAAAAATATTCATAATCCCTAACCATTCTTTTCAGTATAACTAGAAGTGTGATTTATCTGAAATATTGCAGGCAGTTGTTTAAATGGTTATTTGTTATTTTTGTTACCGTTGGTTACTTGTTATTGTTGACAGTTTTGGCATCACCTTAAGAGAGGATGAATCTCAACTCTTCAAATTCATCATTTCCATGTCAAAGCGCACCATTGAAAGCAATAGTAGAGCCTATTCTATCGCAGGACCACTCACCTCTTCCCAGACGACGTGGAGAATTTCACTTCATCGGAATAAATATGAAGTACGTATGCGGAGATGTTGGTTTGTAACATTTAACTTGCCTTCGAAAAATGTTGTGATATTAATCTTTGTGTGTGATACATAAATGTGCATCCATGACTTGTTCCATCATGACATTTAGTTTCGTCTATCATTATTTTAGTATATGTCTGGCATATGGTATATGTCTCCAGTATTTTATTACAATAGTCATATACATCATAAACATACTTTCGAAGGGGTGGTCGGGTAACCTAGTTGTTAAAGCGTTCGCTCGTCACGCCGAAGACCCGGGTTCGTTTCCAGACATTGGCACAGTATGCAAAGCCCATTTCTGGTGTCCCCCGCCGTGATAATGCTGGAATATTGCCAAAAGCCGCGTGGAACTACACTGACTCATTCAAAGATCACTATCAAGCGAATCTAGGATTCGTATGTAAGATAAGCGGATCCTTGCACAACTGAGGGACACAACTCTGCAAAGCGAATTTCGGCGCCTGGGGCTACTAGGCCAACCGTGCCCCTGTACAAATAATGTTTGTTTGCTAAGTGCCATTGTAAGTAACTTAAATTTAAATATAACCAGATGTCTTATTGTTTCAGAAACTGTTTTTTTAATTACATATGCAGATACATATCAATGGTTTCCTCTTATTTAAACCCGTGAAGATCCGGGGTACAATAGGTCTTCAGCAACCAATGCTTGCCGTAAAAGGTGACTATGCTTGTCGTAAAAGGCGACTAACGTGATCGGGTGGTCAGGCTCGCTGACTTGGTTGATGCATGTCATCGATCCACATTGCGTGGATCGATGCTCATGATATTAATCACTGGATTGTCTGGTTCAGACTCGATTATTTACAGACCGCCGTCATATAGCTGGAATATTGGTGAGTGCGGCGTTAAACTACAAACCAACCAACCAACCAATCTTATTGTTTTAGAAACTGTTTTTCTTTTATTACAAATGCAGATACATGTTAATGGTATCCTCTTATTTAAACCGTGTTCTATTTCTTTTCAGCTCTATGTAAACGGTAAGAAAACGGCCGAACACGACGCTGGAACAACCCAGTTCTCCGGCGTCCTGACTCTGTCACTTTATGGGCTGGTGCGTCTCACTGAGGCGAGGTTCCTGCCCCCCGGGGTCCCTGACCCCGGGACCCTGCCAGAACCTGCCCCGACAACACCAGCTCCATCTACCCTTGCATCCTCCTCATCTACACTTTTATCTGCAACATCTTCTCCGTCTACTCCGACATCCGCAGCTCCATCTACCCTTGGATCCACTCCGTCTACACTTCCATCTACAGCATCTTCATCGTCAACGCCGACACCAACGGCTACACGTACGTCTCCAGGCACGGTTGATCAGTTGTAATGTTTTTCGGTTTTCTAGATACAGCTTGGTTAAAGTCAGATTATGTTGTTTAAGAAATACAGACTGCGTTTCCTCTACTGGCAGTGAATTCGATTAGCATCCAAGGTCCTTGCTAATAAAGTATGTAAATATTACATCTATTATTGGTTCGTACTGTTTGCAAACATGTAGCATTTTGTCTCCACGATTCTTATAGTTAATATAACTGTTATTTTCATTGTAATATTTTCAGTGTTACCATGTAATGAATTTGCGTAGACATCCACAGACATCACTGATACGTCCAACACCTGTAGCTTAAATTTCAGGCCTTTGCATCTCTTCGATATAACACGTTGATCGTGAGTTCGAATTCCCGCTTCATCTAACTATGACCTTTGGTTTGTCACCACCATACCCGTGTCCTTTGGTGGTACAAACTTCGTAAACCATGCCGTGGAATGTCCTCACTCATAAGACAGACACATGGTATCAGGTCTTTCATCTGTCAGAAGGGGGCACGGGTGGCCCAATCGTCTAAGGTGCCGCGATTCGCTGTGCAGAGTTGCGTCCCTTGGGCACGCCAGAAACCTATGATTGTGGGTTCGAATCCCGGTTCGCCCCGTATATGTTTCTAGGTTTGTCAGCACCATACCCGTGCTGGTGGGTTTCACCGAAGTGGTAAACGTCTGAGACCTGCATCACGTCGGGCTTTCCTCCCACATTAAGCTGACACGCCGTGATATAACTGGAATACTGTTAAAAGCGGTGTTAAACCCAACTCACTCACTCACTCAACTGTCAATATGTTTGCGGACGTCTTTCAGTGACCGGCTGGACCCCCTTCTCGTGCCCGAACCCTCCTCTGCTGGACAAGGCGATGGTCGATGTCCACTACTCCTTGGCCGCGGCTGTGGCGGTGTACTCCTGTGACGACGGCTACTCCGGCGGCTGTGACGACAACAACCTGCTGTACTGTACTAGTGACAAGGGCTGGGAGGGTCGACCCAAAGCCTGTATCAGGGTGAATTCGGGAACAGAGGAGACGGTATGGAGAAGAGATGCTTGAAACACGGGGGGAGATGGTCGGGAGTAGAGATGTTTGAAACACGGGAGACGGTAGGGAGTAGAGATGCTTGAAACACGGGAGATGGTAGGGAGTAGAGATGTTTGAAACACGGGAGATGGTAGGGAGTAGAGATGTTTGAAACACGGGAGATGGTAGGGAATAGAGATGCTTGAAACACGGGGGGAGATGGTGGGGAGTAGAGATGCTTGAAACACGGGAGATGGTAGGGAGTAGAGATGCTTGAAACACGGGAGATGGTAGGGGGTAGAGATGCTTGAAACACGGGAGATGGTATGGAGTAGAGATGCTTGAAACACGGGAGATGGTAGGGAGTAGAGATGCTTGAAACACGGGAGATGGTAGGGGGTAAAGATGCTTGAAACACGGGAGTTGGTATGGAGTAGAGATGCTTGAAACACGGGAGATGGTAGGGAGTAGAGATGCTTGAAACACGGGAGATGGTAGGGAGTAGAGATGCTTGAAACACGGGAGTTGGTATGGAGTAGAGATGCTTGAAACACGGGAGTTGGTATGGAGTAGAGATGCTTGAAACACGGGAGATGGTAGGGAGTAGAGATGCTTGAAACACGGGAGATGGTAGGGAGTAGAGATGCTTGAAACACGGGAGATGGTAGGGGGTAGAGATGCTTGAAACACGGGAGTTGGTATGGAGTAGAGATGCTTGAAACACGGGAGATGGTAGGGAGTAGAGATGCTTGAAACACGGGAGATGGTAGGGAGTAGAGATGCTTGAAACACAGGGGAGATGGTAGGGAGTAGATATCCTTGAAACACAGAGGAGATGGTAGGGAGTAGATATCAAGGAAACTAAGAGGAGGTGGCAGGGAGATGAAAGATTAGGCGGTTGGGTGAAAGCTGGGATAAACTGCATTGCTGAATTTTGTTTAACTTTAACACGTGGAAGTTTGGTGTTTTACGCCGCACTCAGCAATATTCAAGCAATATGACGGCGGTCTGTAAATAATCAAGTCTGGACCAGACAATCCAGTGATTGACATCCTGATCATCGATCCAAGCAATTGGGATGCGATTACATGCATCAACCAAGTCAGCGAGCCTGACCACCCGATCACGTTAGTCGCCTCTTACGACAAGCATAGTCGCCTTTTACGACAAGCATAGTCACCTTTTACGGCAAGCATGGTTGCTGAAGACCTATTCTACCCCGGATCTTCACGGGTCTTAACGCGTGGAATACGAAAGGAGTGTATGTGTGCGTTTGTTGTTTAATGCCACACTCAGCAATATTCGAACAATATGATGACGGCCTGTAATAATCGATTCTGGCCCAGACAATACAGTGATTGATATTATGAGCGGGTTCGGGGTACGTCGACACGCCATTAATCAAGTCAGCGAGCCTGACCACCCTAAGTGGCCTCTTATAACCAGCATAGGTGGCGAGAAACTCTAACCAGGAATCATCACGGGTTATAATAAATCGCCACCTGCGACTGGCAGCTGTGGTTTGGGGATACATTCTACACGGGTCGCCAGGAAATATATACCAATAGGGTCTCAAACACACCAAAATGGCAACAGCCCTGGTAGTTCAAGTCCATGAAATACAATTATAGCAACAATTTGAAAAATATGGTGAAATAAAATGGTGAAATATACTTTCATCGATTATCACGAATTTGATTTACGAGCGGACGCCCCTTTCATGACTCATGTGTCCAGTAATTATAGTTTGACATTTCCAAAACAACAGCGACTGCCTGGCTCGCGATATAGAATAAACTAGCATTCTCCGTCTGTAGTTTCCAGGGGTCAGTATGTCCTGTCCTAGTCATTATGGCGTCTCCAACAAATGCTGTAGCCACTAGAAGCTCATAGGACACACATCTTAACTTATGCGCATAGCGCAATGGCCTGACCATTCTTCTTATTCTGATAAAAAAGTAAGGATGAGATATATGGATGAACAACTTCTTTATTACAATTGTTCATCCATATATCTTTTACTCATTTAGTACTCCAACTTCTAAATGCCTCTCAAAGAAACTGATAAAAAAGGCTAAAGTAATTATATGTGGGACTCATGCACGCTCTAAACACTGTATGTCCTTGTATTTGATTTGTCTTTTGTCACAGATTGGTTCTGTGGAAATTCCGTGCCAACTTAAGCTGGGATACGCTCATGAAGTGTGGGTCGAACCCAAACGAGGCGGGTAGGTACTACCTATATATTTATTCAATGAAATTAGATAAAATTTTGCTCGTAGGGAATGTAAATTACAAACGTTTACATTCCGATCAAAATAACGAAATTTTGTGACTTTTTACGGTGAAATACCCCTCTCTTTGTCATTTGTAATGATAAATGTGGACAGGTGTTTTGTGGAAAGGACACATCGTCTTAGATCCACGTGATGAAACACATCAGTATGTACATGTATTCAGGTCATGTATCATACCTCCTTGTCAGAATGATGAGATCTGATCGGTCCCCGTGATCTTGATAAAATACGATGTATCCCGCCTTGGAGGGAAATACATTTCTCAGCGGGGAACAAAAAAATCTCTTATACCCCGCCACGAGCAAAACAGGCTGCACCTAGATTTCTGTAAGGGAGAATATAAATCCCTAATTGCCCGCTTCAATGCAAAAAAAAGCCGCACGCTTTTTCCGAGTCCATTTGAGTCACGTGACAGCACAAATTAACCTCAGCTGAATCGAACAGCTGTTTTCTATCAATTGTGCATTTGCCTTCACACTCCGGCTTGTGGTACAAAACCAAACGCGGGACGTATGAAACCCCATGTACCCCTCGTGGTACTGCTACAACTAGTATATGTTTGATTTTCGTTTTCGTGCTGAACACATACATTGTTCATGTCCGTTCCAGATCCTTTATTATGTTTAAATCCGGCAATGACACGGCACTGAAGATGACCTTTCATTGGCCAGCGTCCGGCCCCTACATCATCTACTCCTATGAAGTCAATGGGAGTGCTACCATCATACCTGCAGACACACCCATGCCGTTCAAGGGTCGAACTGTGGCGCACATTGTCCTGGTCTACAGAACAGAAAACCTACAGGTCAGATACACGAGTGAGTGAGTGAGTTGGGTTTAACGCCGCTTTGAACAGTATTCCAGCTATATCACGGCGTGTCCGCTCAATGAGGGAGGGAAGGCTGAAGTGATGTAGGTCTTAGACATTAACAGCTTTAGGGAAATTCATGGGCCTCTTGTTGACAAATCATTTTCGAGCGAATCTGGGATTAACATTCAATCCAAACATTATTAGATCCTGGCGGACCCATGGGAGGTAAATCTTCACAGATAATTGCGCCTTTTGGGACAATGTTCCCGCGCTACGCATCTGAACAACGTTTTTCAATACATCATTCAGTCTCTCACAGGTGATATACTCAGTATGTTTAGAACTGGCAAAAATGTTTGACAACCACAAAACGTTACACTGCGCGAAAAATAGCTTTACCGAAGAAGTCAACAGATCCGAAACTACGAACAGCCAGGCCGGGAAATCCTTCAAATTCATAAACTGAGACGGGAATAAAAGCATAAGTGAATGCACATGTTTAGTATCCAGACAAGCCTTAAACAGGTCTCTATCTATGATAAATAATACGATTAGCTCCCTGTCGATTTTTTTAATATTGGCTAGCATTGTGCACAACCACCAGTAGCTAAAGTGATGACGTAAATCTTTAATATAACTTTGCATAATTATCTAAATTATAAATATATTAACTTGGTCTCGTCGCTATATGGCTGAAATAATACCGATGCGACGTTCAGTTTTAACTCTTCCCGGAAAGCTAAGGTCGGTGGTTCGATCCCCGGCCCCGTTATACCAAAAGACGTTAAAAGATGGTACTTGTTTTAACCCTGCATGACGCTCGGCATAAAGGGGATAAAGCATGGACAGTTCGGATTGGTGTCAGTATACTGTGTCTGAGTGGGGTATATGTTAAACTGCAGCATAATATCTCAGTGGGGTAGCACTATAAGAGTGGCATCAGTACAATCCGACACACGTACATGCACACACATTCACGTACACACACACACACACACACATTCACATACACGTACACACATTCACGTACACGCACACACACATTCACGTACACGCACATTCACGTACACGCACACATTTCACGTACACACACACATTCACATACACGTACACACATTCACGTACACACATTCACGTACACACACACATTCACATACACGCACACACATTCACGCACACGCACACACATTCACGTACACGTACACACATTCACGTACACGCACACACATGCACGTACACGCACACACATTCACGTACACGCACACACATTCACGTACACGCACACACATGCACGTACACGCACACACAAGTTAAACACACGTTAAACCCTGTTCCACCTGACCCCAGCAAGCCATGTTGACGTAGGGTCACGCTCTATATGAACTCTGTGTTTTCAGATTCTAGTTAACAACGAGTCCCTCCTGGCCGTCCCCCATCAAGTACCAGCGCCGCTAATTGACAGAATAGTTGTGGAGGATGACAAAATATCCATCAAGAAAATCAAACTCAATCAAGACTGGCGTCAAGGTGCAACAACAGGTGTGGAACTTGTCGTTGCTCTCTCACACTCAAGTCGGCGATCTTGTGTGAAGGGAAACTTACATATTGGCTTAATTGTGTATTTATATTTGCACAGAACAAAATGTGCGTCTCCTTTAGCATAAATTTTGAATTGCATTAAATTGAATTTGAAACCAAATGCCATCCATGGGGCCCGTGAAGATCCGAGGTAGAATAGGTCTTCAGCAGCCCATGCTTGCCGTAAAAGGCGACTATACTTGTCGTAAGAGGCAACTAACGGGATCGGGTGGTCAGGCTCGCTGACTTAGTTGATGCATGTCATCGATCCCAATTGCGTGGATCGTTGCTCATGTTGTCATTCACTGGATTGTCTGGTCCAGACTCGATTATTTACAGACCGCCGTCATATAGCTGGAATATTGGTGAGTGCGGCGTTAAACAACAACCAGCCATCCTTGACGCTTTCGGTTCCAGTTTCAATTTAGCGCGGTTAAAGCTACAGATAACGTATCTCTACATAGAAAACATAGTATGTTTATCTCCGAAGTATTGTACACGTGAACGAGATAGCGCGGATGTTCAATCTTATGAATTCTAGTATAGGCTTCCTGAAGCTATTATTACGTTAAATTTAAGCGGAAACCATGAAACCCCATTTATCCTAACGGTAGTTTGAACACTGAACACGTCCGGATTAACTTATGTCCGGGTTAGGGGGTTTAGATTGATGAAATGTCACTGTTACCGTCATATGTACCAAACCAGCAGACAAAAGCATCTGGTCGCCTCAAGACTGTCCCTTCCCCCCTTTGCTGGAGAACATGGCGGTTCAAATATCCTACTCCCTGGACGAGGCAGTGGCTACCTACGTCTGTGACGACGGCTACGCCATGTGCAGTGACGACAACGTCGTACGTTGTAACAGCAGTTCCGGATGGCGGGGACAGCCACAGTCATGTCAACCGATGGTGTTTGGCGCGGTGAGTTGCGCAGAGGGAACTGTGACGTCAGTCGGGCTTATTTATGCGGAGATATTTGCATTTGAATGTATGTATAGTTCAAATGACCTGATAATCTGGCTCAAATTTCAAACTGGTACTAGTGAACCATAGATTGTATCTCTCTGGTTCACAAAAATATAGACATCATCATCATCATCATCATCATTATCACTATCATTATGAGCATTAGCATCTTCATTATCACCATCATTTTCATCTTCATCATCATCATCATCATTATTATTATTTATATTATTATTATTATTATTATATGCACATGTTAACTTTGACTACATTATATCGTCACATATTCCTTATTTTACGATGAAATGTTAGTTTAAAAAAAGTATAGATAATGCCCAACCAAATGGTTATGTTAATAAAATATCATAAATATAAAAATAAATGCAAATAAAAAACACTTAAACACTGACGTATAAGGGATATCCTTCTCTGACATTACTTTGTTTCAGATGACCAGGTACGACTTCAAGTGTCCTTTTAAACTCGGTACAAGTCTTCACCTGTGGACAACACCTGACGGGATGAAATCGTAAGTGTTGGTCAACACTGTGCGTATCTCTGGTACATGAAGGTACAGTGTGTAAAATATGTTTGTTTGTTGTTTAACGCCGCACTAAACAATACCCTAGCTATATGACAGCGGTCTGCAAATAATCGAGTCTTAACCAGACATTACAGTTATTGGCGTCACGAGCATCGATCCACGCAGTTGGGATACGATGACATGCATCAACCAGGCCAGCGAGCCTGACCACCCGATCCCGTTTGGGATGTCACTGCATACTTTCTTGTTCTACGTGTGTTACACGCAGTTCAACCAAACGTAACTTGGTTTTTTTAAATATTCCTATTTCTACAATTGCTGGAATATTGCTACCTGTGGAGTAAAACAATACTCACTCACTATTTCTACTTTCTACCCGGTTGTTCCTATTATTTCAGACACTGCCTCGCTATTGTTTGTATAAATAACACACAAGGATCGATTCTTCAGCTCTTTGACCTCAGTGCTTGACGTCGTTTGATGATCGCACTTCCATATAAACTCGGCGCGGTTGGGTAGCCGAGTGGTTAAAGCGTTCGCTCGTCAGGCGGAGACCGGGTTCGATTCCCGACATGGGTACAATGTGTGAAGCCCCGGTGTCCCCCCGCCGTGATAATGCTGGAATATTGCTTAAAGCGGCTTAAACCCATACTCACTCACTCATATACACTAGAAACAATATTTTTTCAGCATGCCCACAGTGTTTCTTCAAACACGGCAAATGTCCACAGCGATGAGTATGAGTATGGATCTGAACAATCCCGGCGTGTTTCATTTTAAAGAAGACTCTAAACCACAACAATCAGTTGGTGTGAACTTTCCAGCGATCAGGAAGAACACGGAGTACCATGTTGTATTCACCTTCCTCAGCGACTATATTCAGGTGAAGTTTGTATCGTTGTGTATCCCAACTAATGTACGAAAGCCCAATGGTGCCACTTTGGTAGCATTATTAGTTTTTTTTAAATCGAAATTTCTCGTTATTTCAATCAGTTTCTCGAAATTTTAAGTTTTTAAATAAATTTAAAATAATGAGAAAATAATCGACGTAACGAGAAACAAAATTGGAATTTAGATGTTTTTAAATAAACTTAAAACAACGAGTAAATAATCGAAATTACGAGAACAAACTCGAAGTAGCGGGAAAATATAACGAGAATATGATCGAAATAACGAGGAAAATATCGAAATTTCGACAAAATAGAGAGAATAATTGAAATAAACAGAAGTTTCGATTTAGAAATGAATACAAATGCCACCAAAAACGGCACCATTAGACTTTCGTACTCATGCAATGTTGTGTGTTTTTCTCCTCAAATGTAGAGGGAACTGCGGGCTGCCGGGACAAAAAATATAAACAATAAAACTTACAGCTGATCAATATAATGCATATTGTTGAAATAGTTTCCAATTTGGAATCTCACCAGATTTAAAACTCGTTTTGAAATTTTGAACATTTTCGTAAAACTAAATGTGTTCATTAACTGTTGAGAACTTTTTTATGCAAATCTTCGAGTGGCGGGTGTTATCACGAACTCCTGGTTCATGCTTATTTACAGTTTGTTTGTTTGTTTGTTTGTTGTTTAACGCCGCACTCAGCAATATTCCAGCTATATGACGGCGGTCTGTAAATTAATCGAGTCTGGACCAGACAATCCAGTGATTGACGTCATGAGCATCGATCCACGCAAATGGGATCGATGACATGCATCTACCAAGTCAGCGAGCCTGAACACCCGATCCCGTTAGTCGCCTTTTACGACGAGCATAGTCACATTTTACGGCAAGCATGGGTTGCTGAAGACCTATTCTACCCCGGAATCTTCACGGGTCCTTATTTACAGTACTTTTCATTTTCATCACTATATTTTGCCTTCAACGCCTATTGAAATCTGTTTCGACAGACAATATGGGACTAATTGTTCTCTGGCGTTAACGTTTTTAATTAGAGAAGGGAAAGGTAGAGAGCTTACACATGTCCTGAGTGAGTGAGTGAGTAAGTGAGTGAGTGAGTTTTCTCATAACAACCTATAGAACAGTAATCAAGTTATAGATGACGATGTGAGCCTTTACACCGGATAACCAAGAGTATCCTTGCATTAAGCCCAAGACCAGTGGATCCTTGCATGGCCTAGGGGGCAACAATGCCTCATATTCTCATATATCAATTCTGTGACAGATCCTATGGTTCCAATACAGAAACGACACACTATTTCTACGATATATATTGTATCACAGTCAAATTAAAGTCAAGGAAAGTGAAGCTCGCTGTGTCTTTCCTTACCTCTCGCATCAAGCCAAGTGGCTGCCGCTGCCCCTCTCGTGGCCATTTCATCAACTTGGTTCCCCCTGGTCAACTTGTTGTACCGCAAATTCGTTTTGTAAAGTTACATGGCTACTTTCGAAATATAACGGTTGTTATTTATTCCCATTTGTTATCAAGCAGGGGGCGGTCGGGTAGCCTAGTGGTTAAAGCATTCGCTCGTCACGCCGAAGACCCGGGTTCGATTCCCGACATGGGTACAATGTGTGAAGCCCATTTCTGTGTCCCCCGCCGTGATATTGCTGGAATATTGCTAAAAGCGGCGTAAAACCATACTCACTCACTCACTCACTCATTGTTATTAAACAGGGTCATGGCAACTGTGACTAACTTTGGCATGTTTAGATACAAACAATACTTGTAAAAAAAGACCAACTATCTTATCGTCATATGTGTATTCTGAATGGCTCGTGTTTCGCACATAACATTAGCGACAAGGCGCGAGGGGTGACTAATGGTCATATTCCTGTGTTCCAGGTTGAGATTGATGACGTGCTTATTACACAGTATCCTCATAACCAGCCAACACATGAACTTACTGTTCTGGCGACGAATGGCTTTAACAATAGAAAGGTTCTGTTTGACATGAACAGCGATATAAAGAAAGGTACGTTTTTAGCTTTACTTCTGCTGTATGTTGATTTAATATTAAATTTGATGTCCATAATGCAATATGCATGTATCTGTTAAACTGAATTCCTCTCCACGTAAGTCTTGAAAATAAGCTTTCAGAAGATTGAAGAACATGGAGACATGAGCGTCTCATGGATAACATCTTCTTTATTGAGTTAAAAAGTTGTTATCAATAAATGTTTCATGTCTACTTTACACTATGTAACCTCGGTACGGCAAATGTATAGAGATGGCAGCCAGAGCTGTATTTCGATGGCAACCGGTGTCAGGATGGTTTTTCCGGAGGGAGTACGAAATACTTGTAGTTTGACACTTGTCATGCAACACAATTACAAAGAATGTATTAATCTCTTATAATGTCCTTAATCACAGTGTACTGTCTATTAAAAGTCTCAGAGTTGCGTCCTATGACCGTGGGTTCGGATCCTGGTTCACCCGTACGTTTTTTATGAATTTGACAGCACCATGGGTTTAAGTGTACAACTTCCGAAACCTTATTAACCCCCCCACACACACACACACATACCCGTCCCCCGTCGCCACCCCAACCCACCCACCCCCATGACATCCACCCACCCCGCGCATTAAGTTGTCACTTCCGTAAAGCGGCGTTAAACCCAACTAGCTCACGACTAGCCTACGACTCACCAACTCACTTTTGTGACTTCAGAGAACGCGTCAAAAACGATGCCTACTCCTTGTGATCCCTGTGTGGGAGTGTTGTCATCAAACTAATATAGTACCAACCTGACATTACATATCGGACCCATGAAGATTCCGGGGTAGAATAGGTCTTCAGCAACCCATGCTTGCCTTAAAAGGTGACAATGCTTGTCGTAAAAGGCGACTAACGGGATCGGGTGGTCAGGCTCGCTGACTTGGTTGATGCATGTCATCGATCCCAATTGCGTGGATCGATGCTCATGATATTAATCACTGGATTGTCTGGTCCAGACTCGATTATTTACAGACCGCCGTCATATAGCTGGAATATTGCTGAGTGCGGCGTTAAACAACAAACCAACCAACCACCCATTACATATCGATATAATTAATAGTACGTTTCTATGTTATTAACCGCATCCGTTGGTTAGTGGAGAGACCGTCTGCCCCGATGGCTGAAGATCGGTGGTTCGATCCCCATGTCAAAAGACGTCACGAGATGGTACTTGCTGTGTCACGACTTTCAGAAAACGCTTCAACATGTTCTACTATAAGTTTTCTCTAAACCAGAGTCAGTCAGTACAAACCTTGCCTTGAACAAACCCGCCACATCCAGCTCGGACAAAGATGGATCTCAGCCTGGCTGGCTCGTGGACGGCAACTCCTCCCCAGTCTGGGCCGACAACACCTGCTGGTCACACACCGCAGCCGACGTCAACGTGTACTGGGAGGTAGACTTACAGGGCTACTACTACGTCAACAGCGTTGTCATCACAACCATCAACTGTGCCGGCCCTTGTTGTGAGTAAAAAAGAATATATATGGTACTCGGGAATTTAGTCACTGGTTTGTCTGGTCAAACCCGATTTTGCATACGTCTGAAATCTCTAATTGAACACAGCATTTTCTTATTCAAACTATTTAATAGGTTAGGTAGTTACAGTTCAATGTTGGTACTATTTTGTAATGATAACTTCATTGTATTAAACACATATATTTAAAGTACCTGTCACAACATAGAATCAGAATAAGGTGTTGGTCTAATTGTTTCAAAAGTATTCTTAGTTAAGACGATCTGCATGGCAAGGAGTTAACCAAAATGTTTCAACGTTTTACCCTTTTTTAATTTTTCTGAGTTAAATATTAAATTGTCGCTCTTCATGCCATTTCAACTCTCTTTAGAACATGGTCCTCGGTATGCCAACACCATTAATGTGTTTAGAAAACGGACCAGATTTCAAACATGAAATGCGGTTTAAAGATGGTTAAAATTTCAACTCACAGTTACATATCCAGGGCGCATGACCAATTAATCAAAACTTCTGCAGTTAGCTGTGCAGAGTTGCGTTCCTTAGGCGTGCCAGGATCCTGTGTGTATTTGACCTGATTATTATTGTAGTGTTTTGTGGGTAAAACTCCTCCACAGTGGTAATTATGTACGGCAAGCATCACTTACTTTCCAGTGAAGCCGACACGCCATGATAAAACCCAATACTGTTCAATGCGGCGTTAAACAAAACTCAATCACTCACTCCCCCTGACTATGAACCTTATATCGTACTTTGTTTTTAATACAGCTACGAGGTCACATGACTTTGAGATCACGGTGAGGTCAGACGGAGAAGAGGTCTGTCACATGTACCATGGCGCGATGTCAGATGGAGACACCCAGAAACTGGCCTGTGACAAGGAGGTGTTGGGGAGATACGTCAGGATTAAACCCAAGGCCAGGCAGAACGCGAACGACCTTCTTACGTTTTGTGAAGTGGGAGTTTACGGAAGCAGACTTACCCTTAAACGTATGTGAAATATGTACTATGTATTATCTTGCCTTGCATGAACTCACTTGTTTCTGAATGTGGTTACTGGATAGGGAATGGGCATGATTCCTCTGCTAGGAAGTGAAACATGTACTATGTATTATCTTGCCTTGCATGAACTCACTTGTTTCTGAATGTGGTTACTGGATAGGGAATGGGCATGATTCCTCTGCTAGGAAGTGAAACATGTACTATGTATTATCTTGCCTTGCATGAACTCACTTGTTTCTGAATGTGGTTTCTGGATAGGGAATTGGTAACTATGATTCCTCTGCTAGGAAGTGAAACATGTACTATGTATAATCTTGCCTGTCATAAACACACTCATGTCTAAATGTGGTTGCTGAATGCGAAATTTAGCCATATTTAGCTTGTTTTCAAAGTGAGTTAGTATGGTTTACGCCGCTTTTAGCAATATTCCAGCAATATCACGGCGGCGGACACCTGAAATGGGCACATTGTACCCATGTCGGGAATCGAACCCGGGTCTTCGGCGTGACGAGCAAACGCTTTAACCACTCGGCTACCCGACCGCCCATTATTTTCAAAGGTCAAGATAGCGAGAATGTTTGGATAGATATGTGAGGTGTGTGATTATATGTAAAGGGAAGATGTGAATTTAGAGTTATGTTATTTCGATGTTTTATATCTTGCTTTCTTTTAGTTCATAAGGATTTATTGTCATCGATGACAGTTATGGTTTATCATTCATCCAACTTCATGTGTCGTAATAAAGTTCAGTTACGTACGTTATCACGTTAAGTAGTTAACACTTCATTCTTTGTGGAACGTAATACAACTATTATAAGGTGATGTGCCATGTAAATTCAGTGATGTTATGAAGATTGCATCCAATGTGAACAGAGTGGTCGCCTATTGACTGCGGTGCTCCAACTGTCCCTAAGAACAGCTTGATGACCTTGACCTACACCGACACTGACGCCATCGCTACACTCACGTGCAACGCCAACTCCCTGTCTTGTGGCGACGTCAGCAAGGGAGTCATGAGGTGTTCAAGAGGTCAAGTCTGGACCGGTGCCTCCATAACTTGTTCCCCTTCGCTGCACGAATACCACGAGAAAGATGCTGTAAGATCATAAATTCTTTATTGATAGACCCGTAAAGATCCGGGGTAGAACAAGTCTACAGCAACCCGTTTGCCGTAAAGGGCGACTGAGCCTGTCGTAAGAGGCGACCAACGGGATCCGGTGGTCAGACTCGCTGACTTGGTTGAAATATGTCATCGTATCCAAATTTCGTGGATCGATGCTCATGATGTCACACACTGGATTGTCTGGTCCAGACTCGATTATTTACAGACCGCCGACATATAGCTGGAATATTGCTGAGTACGGCGTTAAACAACAAACCAACCAACCAATTGCGTGGATCGATGCTCATATCAATCACTTGATTGTGTAGTCCAGACTCGATTATTTAGTGCAGCATTAAACAACAACCAACAAAAAAACAGCTTTATTGATAAATATGATTCTGTTCTGTTAAAAAAAACGTTTTTTCGGATGCTCCTATCCTATAATTATTTCACTGACCGACAAATACGTATAGGAGAACGCTTGAAAATGTGTGAAATATGCTTTCATTTTAATTTTGTTTATGTAAAGAACACTAGGTTAATAATACATTGGACAGTTCAAATAAATAGCTCGAGGGTTAAAAAGAAAGAATGGTTAAATATTGCAGGTGCTGTAAAGTATGGATCGTGCTGTAAAGTATGGATCTTGCTGTAAAGTATGGATCTTCACGTCTTTAGTTGTTTTATATGGTGACTCTGGCATTTTCAGGTGTCGGAGTTTATGTTCAGATGTCCACTAACCATCTTCTCCTCCGTTGAGATCTGGGCCACACCTCGATCTTCTGAGTGAGTAAGCTTCAAACAGTAAACTACAAACACCTCATCTACAGACATATGTATAATTTCGTCTGAAGCGTCATAATTAGTTGTGCAGATTCGTATTGGTGATTTGTGTTAGGATCCGCTAACACTCGGTTTGAATCTCGAATTTCGGTCTGGTTATGATTCTTATCTGTACTGTACCAGATCTCTGGGGTTGCCGAATGGTCTAGACCTGCCACTGCTTCGTCTTCGCAACATTGACACTTCTGAATATAACTAAAATGGTGATAGGTGTACATTTTTACCGTCTTTCTCCCTATTTGTGTTTATGACTTGTTCATATGGGTAAGGCAGGACACGTTCACCTCTTCGCGAACTCCTGAAGTCATAAACACATGCTCAGGATATGGTCGGACTCGTACAATCGTACAGAGATTTCATATGGATAGGGAAAGGGTTTTGATGCTTTTAGTTTTACCAATTTACCTCAAATGGTCAAGGTACAATCTTTTGTCCAGTGTTCTGAGTGTTGGTCTTGGGTTAGTCCACAACAGACACATATACTGTCCTTATTTCGATTTGACGCTGTGAAGTATTTGTTTTCAGCGTTAAGATATCTGTCCTGACTGACAACAATGACATAGCCTTGGAGGTCGTCATGGATTCGACCACTGCTGCAGTCCCCTTTGCCTACATTCGTTACCATGGTGGGGAACAGCGTCTCCCGACCCTCCCCTTTGTTCCCCATCAACCAGCTCACATCGTGTTCACATTCCTCCCGGAACACATCGTGGTAAGTGTATCAATAATTTGTGTTCCTACTTTGTTCTGAATAGAGAGAAGTAAGCGACAGTAAGGGTAAGCCGTCGAAACACAAATGTCAACTCTTCATTCGAAGTCTGTTTCTGATCTAAAAAATCTGCAAATGTATGATAAAGCATGTATTTAGCATGCACGCAGCATGTATTCAGAGGTTTCCAGTTATTATTTTGTTCAATTATAGCTTGACATAAACGAGCAGAGGATAATGGCAGTGTCCCACGTGTTCGACTTTCTGAAAGCTGAACGTCTTCAGTTTACCAACCTACCTCTGAGGAAACTTAAATTGAGCAAGGGAGATCTGAATGGAATGAAAAGAGGTAAGCTACTTGGAAACTCTCTCGAAATCAGTGCCAAGTTTTGTTTGTTTGTTTGTTGTTTAACGCCGCACTCAGCAATATAACAGCTATGTGGTGACGGTCTGTAAAATAATCGAGTCTGGACCAGACAATCCAGTGATTAATATCATGAGCATCGATCCCCGCATGGGATCGATAACCTGCATCAACCAAGTCAGCGAGTCTGACCACCCGATCCCGTTAGTCGCCTTTTACGACAAGCATGGTCACCTTTTACGGCAAGCATTGGTTGCTGAGGACCTATTCTACCCCGGAATCTTCAAGGGTCTCAATGATGCACTTAAAAAGCGGGCCAATCATTCCTCAACTACTTGAAGCACTGTGGGATAGATGTAAAAATATATCAGTTAAGAAATATGTGTCTGTTTACAGAACCGATCAGCAGGAATGTTGCACTTCAGAAGCCGGCCAAGGGGTCTTCAACTACCGGAAGCCCTGCGGGAAGAGTGGTGGACGGATTCCCCTCCCCTACCGCCAGTAGCGCGACGTGTTGGCAAGTGTCCGCCCAGGACCCTAACCCATGGTGGCAGGTGGACCTACAGGCATACTACTACATCGACAGGCTGGCTATAACACACAAGAAGACGTGTGCGGGTTGCGGTAAGGGATTGCCACCCGAGTTATTCAATAGGGTTGACTTCTGAATAGATCCGTCCTCACACATGTACATATCTCTTCAAACATTGACAAAGGAAAAAGTTGTTTGAATAACATACAATTTTTCGAATGGAAATTTCTTCTGTTGCAGAGAAGTTTCTCCACGACTTTGAGGTGGAGGTGTTGATGCACGACCCGACACTCTACCCTGCCACACCCGCCAAGTCCTGCTTCTCCCACACTGGTCAGTTCCCCCACGGTAAACGCCAGGTGTTGGACTGTCTGCCTGACGTCTTTGGTCGCTATGTCAAGATCCGTAGTATGAAGAAACTGGATGTTAGTGATTCAATGACGATGTGTGAAGTGGAAGTCTTTGTATCAAAACCAACAAAACAAGGTACGGAGTGTCTTAACTGGCACACAGAATATTACCAAATATTAAGCTCAACATATGACATAAGTTACCAAGTATATGATGTTGTTCGAAGACGTGTGTCTTGCTGTATATATACTCACATACAGAAGTAACGACCATCAGTTTCCTCTACGTATATGCATCTATAGAAGCGCAACTTTAATAATAATGATACTTAATTCAAGATTTAAACACTACTGGAGTATTTAATTGAGATGAAGATGAACCAACTTTGCTTTCTAAAGGTGTTCCCTTCAAAGAAAGAAAAATAAATCTCATAAATTCAAAATTTCATACTAAAATTAGGCCTAGCAATTTTTGTTTTTCTCTGCATAATGGTAGACGTTTAAGATTGTAATTGTGCAAAGGTCTGGGACCAGCATCACTTCAGACTTTTTCTCCACATCAAATTCATACCATGATGTAACTGAAACACTGTTCAGAGCTGCGTTACGACCACTCACACGCGTATCTATTAATGATTGACGTTACAACGAAGCCCATAGAGTGGTGGACGGATTCCCCTCCCATCAAGTTTTCAGTTGTCGATACATCCATTCATAAAATATTTGTAAACTTGAATGCTTCAGGGGTAATCTCCGACTGGTCCCCATTCGACTGTCCCCGCCCCCCTCTCCCCGGGGGTGCCTCTGTCCAGGTCTCCCACTCGGCCACGGCGGCAACAGCGACCTACCGGTGCCAGGAGGGGTTTGCCCTGTGTAGCGGGAGGACCACAATCAACTGCAACTCTAGTTCAGGTTGGCCGGACGCCGACATTGTCTGTAAACAGGCTGTCTTTGAACGTGTGGGTCTTCAACATTTTCGTAACATCAGTAGTGACATACGTCTATAGCAGTTACAGTTAACAGTCCATATTCCTCTTTAACACTTACAGCTAACAGTCCATATTCCTCTATAACAATCACAGTTAACAGTTCATATTCCTATATTGCACTGACAGTTAACAGCCCACATTCCCCTATAGCACTTACAGTTAACAGTCCATATTTCTATATAGCACTGACAGTTATCAGCCCTCATGCCCCTACAGCACTAACAGTAAACAGTCCACATTCCTCCATATGACTTACAGTTGACAGTCCACATTCCTCCATATGACTTACAGTTGACAGTCAATATTCCTCCATATATGACTTCCAGTTGACAGTCCATATTCCTATATAGGACTGACAGTTAACAGTCCAGATTCCTCCATATGTGACTTACAGTTAACAGTCCACATTCCTATATAGAACTTACAGTAAACAGCCACCATTCCTCTATATCACCTACAGTTGACAGTACACATTCTTCCATATGACTTACCGTAAACTGTCTACATTCCTCTATAACACCTACAGTTTACAGTCCATATTCCTCTATTTCACTTACAGTTAACAGGTCATATCCCTCAATAGCGTTCACAGTTAACAGTCCATATTCCTGCCTGCGAGATATTCCGCGATTCTAACTATTCTCTGTACAAACTTTCGTTACAAAATGGCCTCCACTCTGTAGTAGACGAAGCATCCTTTAAATGGCGCGAGAAGTTTGAAAACGATATTTCTTTACATTGTCATTAAACGTTACTGACGCGCAGGGTACCCCAGAAACACCAGCCTAAACAGTATTGTTGGCATTACGTCAACACAATTGTGGAGCGCAAGGCGCCCTTACTACACTTGTGCTCGGTATTGAACTTAACTCACAGATCTTTAACACAGTCATACGCATATGCTTCGTTCATTAAATTGGAAACATTATCAAATTATTGATACAATTCGTTTTAACATGCACTAATGCATGTAACTTCAATGATGCAATGTTACTGCTAAGTGAATGTTGTTTTGAATGTGTTTTGAATGTTATTTTCATCATTTTTTCTAAACACAGATGTCAGTGGTAGAATTGCAATGTCACATCCGGTTTGGTGACTCTCTGGAACTATGGGTAACACCCAACGTACAACAGTAAGTTCAGCCGCAATCGCGGAAAATCGGATGCTTCACTGAGATACCTCGCCGCATCAGTATATGATATATCTTCCGTGTGAGATCACGTCAGATGAACCTTTAATATTTCCCATTCGGAACCGAGCGTCTGTGTTCGTTTCAATATACAGAAATAAGATGCACTAATCTGAATGCTTCTCTCCTTCGAGAAGTCTCGATGCTGATTGGTTGATATAAATTTCGTCGGACGCGGCCTCCAATGGAGAGGGGTCGTTCGAGAGCAAATATCTGATTTTAGTTACATTGGTTCAGTGGTTTATTCGAACCAGTCTTTATAGATGACAAAGATTATCCCTGTAAAATGGATAATCGATAATGCTATCACGAACAGAATATTTGACTGGATTTTATCTACGACGTGTAATGGAAATCGGTTTATTGTATTTTCGGTGCTTATATATTTGGTCCTCATTTTATATAATCGGCAAATATATTTTTGTTTCTTGTTTAGACCAAGAATACATTTGATGGATGAGATCAGAGCTAACGGTATTGTGTTAAACTATTTGCCATCGACTAACGGTTTGGAGTTCTACACCTTCAATCAAACCGCCACAATAGGAAATGTCGTACCGGCGAGCGACGTCAGCTCCCTCCAGTCGGGTACAGAATGGCACGTGGTGCTCACGATACTACCGGAACATCTGTATGTAAGTATAGACTGCAGGGGAACATCTGTATGTAAGTATAGACTGCAGGGGAACATCTGTATGTAAGTATAGACTGCAGGGGAACATCTGTATGTTAGTGTGTACTGCATGAGGACATATGTATGTAAGTGTGTACTGCAGGGGAACATCTGTATGTAAGTGTGTAATGCAGGGGAACATCTGTATGTAAGTGTGTACTGCATGGGGACATATGTATGTAAGTGTGTACTGCAGGGGAACATCTGTATGTAAATGTGTACTGCAGGGGAACATTTGTATGTAAGTATACACTGCAGGGGAACATCTGTATGTTAGTGTGTACTGCATGGGAACATCTGTATGGAAGTGTGTACTTGAGAAGAGCTGAACACTATATGTGTAGTAACGACTCTAAATGAGTCGTAAAAAGGGAAAACATCGTAACATGAAAAGACCAGACACCAAAGGCTGGCGCCGCTGGACATAACATAACTGGAAAGGTGGGTGAGGCTGTTTCTCGGACCTATTTTTTTTTCTAGTTCAGATGGTAGGTGAGGTGAGATGGGATTTAATGTCGCATTCAAAACTATTCCACTTACAAAGCGACTTGCATGTTCGTGTTTGTGTGATTGCTTGAAGACTTCCGTCGGTTTTATAGTACTCGTCCATTGAAATACCATACCGGTGTTTAACATTGCTACATCACTCAGACACAGAATACTGAATCCTATCTTAGAATCAGGCAAGGTAACAATACGGGCTATCTTGTGGCGTCTTTTGGTATGACGAGGCCATAGGATCGAACCACCGACCTTCCGCTCTCCGGACAGATCCACAAGACCACGGAGGTTGTTATTTACTTTACTCGTTTTAATGAACGAAATAAGACCAAATTTCTGATGTTTTGATTTTGCCATTCCGAGCAGAAATACTGAAATTCATTCCCTTTAAAATTGTAAAACTGGAAAGGTTTTGTCGCCGTTTATTATTCTTCAGTTTCCATGCCTTTACGTTATGTATATATACCATGTTGTTATGTCTGCCATAGAAATATTCTATTTTTGTTCCATGTGGGCGATGTTGTACAAAATTATTGATGATCATCATCATGGGGCCCATGGGGAAGTCTACTCCTTACCTCAATATCCTATCCTCAGATTTCAAATAGATGGCATCTGTGAGGTAGTATAGCATTTCTCATATAGTTGTCTCAGTGAACCAGTTGACCATTTCTGTTAATGTTGACTGACTGTCGAAATGTATGTTGTGTTTCTCCGACAGAGATCAACCCACAGGGGTACATTCAGTGAGCAGAGGGCGTTTTTAGTTTGTAGTAAGAGGCGATCGGATCGGATGGTCAAGCTCGCTGCCTTGGTTTATGCATGTCATCGTATCCCAATTGCGTGGATCGATGCTCTTGATGTCAATCACTGGATTCATTCGATTATTGACAGACCGCCGTCATATAGCTGGAATATCGCTGAGTGTGGCGTTAAACAACAAACAATACAATTCATAACGAAAATGATCCCACATGACGCAGAACGACGAAAATGAGGGAATACCGTATGTGTTTACGATAAATGCTCTCTCTTGGCTCTCGGCGATGCCTTATCTTAGCACTAACAATAGGGATATTGCTGCTTTCAAGACTGCTAGTTTCTTTTGTCAGATATCTATCAACGACCGGGGCGTCTTGACCGTCCCACACAGGATGGACCCGAGGACGATACGTTTTATATCAGGGACCGACCTCACCTTCATGATCAGGAGGCTCGTCTGGACGAGAGGAACCGGCGTCGTTAAAAGTAGGCCATTATAATTGATTGAGTTGGGTCAAACGGGACTTTTAACAGTTACAGAACGACGTGTCAGCTTGATGTGGAGGAACGCCAGTAATGATGCAGATCGTTACATTTACCACTTCATCAACGCTCCAGGGATGATAATCAAAGCAAATCTGGATTCGAACCGTTATCTGTTTCAGTTTGTTTCTTTGTTGTTGCTTTACGCCGCACCCAGCAATATTCCAGCTACACGACGGTCTTTTAATAATCGAGTCTGAACCAGATAATCCATTGATTGGCATCATGAGCATCAATCCAGGCAATTTGGATACGATGACATGCATCAACCAAGTCAGCAAAGCCTGACCACCGAATCCCGTTAGTTTCCTCTTACGACAAGTATGGGTTGCCGAAAACCTAGTCTAACCCGGATCTCTATGGGTCTTCTACGTTTTATATATTTGGTGCATTAGTACGTAATGTACTTTAGTTGAATGGGTAACCGTGGTCGGCAGCCTGACCCCTGAGTGTTTCTTGGACAACGTTCCTGTCCCACACTGAAGCGCACATGTTGAACTTGTGGTGTCTCACTTATGATAGTGACTTTCTTGGAAATCTGCCTCTGTTCACCCAGCAGTGAATGGGTACCCGGATGGATGAGATGGTAATGTGGCAGTTAACCTTCCAGCGTCTCACAACACAGCTTGGGTTGTGTTATGCCCAGGGAGCTGAGAATAAAAATTGAGTGGAAACTAATGCATTAACCAGTTTGATAATTCGAGCATGCTTGTGGGTGGATTTGGCGGTCTACATATTCACGCATTATTATTATAATTATTATTATTATTATTATTATTATTATTATTATTATAAAAAGCTCTCTTGAATCATTGTAATATCGACATTCATGTACAACTTGGCTAGTTCTGGCCTGGCATTGACCATTGTGTTTGGAGCCCCAGGTGAGAGAAGAGGCAACATAAAAATGACCCCATGCGTTTTCCAAGTTCCCGGTAAAAGTAGGCGACTAACGGGATCGGGTGGTCAGGCTCGCTGACTTGGTTGATGCATGTCATCGATCCCATGCCAATTGCGTGGATTATTTACAGACCGCTTTCATATAGCTGTAATATTGCTGAGTACGGCGTTAAACAACAAACAGACAAACAAACAAACCTATTTCCCGGGTCTTCCATACGGTTGAGGAAAGTTCCTTCCGATGGCCTCGGGGATGCTTGTTCGTTTAGTGTTTGCATCAGGAAGGAGAAATGAAGTCTTCCTCATTTCAGGACCGGGCCCATTCGACTGTTCATTGCCACCCCCGACACTTGGAGGCGCGAACGTGACGGTGCAAACAACGGGAAGGTCACTAGTTGCCAGATACACGTGCGAGGGGGACACTGCTCCGTGTGGGGCAGCCCCGCCCTCCAGCACCTGCCGCGAGGGGATCTGGCAGACCGTGGAAGGGACATGTTTCGTGACGACATTCAGATACCCTGATATTGTACGTATCGCAGTCGTGGTAACAACACCCTACTCTACATTATTCTTCTGGTGTATCCAAGTCCGTTTGTGTGATATTTTAAGAGTGAGTGAGTGTGTTGGGTTTAACGCCGCTTTTAACAGTATTCCAGTGATATCACGGCGTGTCAGCTTAATGTGGGAGGAAAGCCCGAAGTGATGCAGGTCTCAGACGTTTACCACTTCGGTGAAACCCACGAGCACGGGTATGGTGCTGACCTAGACACATAATCGGGGCGAACCGGGATTCGAACCCACAATCATAGGTTTCTGGCGTAGCCAAGGGACGCAACTCTGCACAGCGAATCGCGGCGCCTTAGACGACTGGGCCACCCGTGCCCCGATATTTTAAGAATGATAATCTTTTAGATTAACGAATTGTTAAAATACCACTAGGTCGGACGATGGGACAAATTTATCACGATTACAGATGTATGTTTAACATATTTGTTCTGATTCGGTTGTCTTCCGCGATTTAATATATACTCCTTTTCTAAATTTATCGAAGTATAATATTGTTTACAGACCAAGGAGAATGTTATCCAAATGGAATGTCCCCCTGTGTTTTTGACGAAGATACACGTGTTTGCCACGCCCACTTTGGCGCAAGAGTAAGTATTTTCAGTTATTTTTGTATTTGGATTATAGTGTTTAATTGGGCTGAAACATTTGTCCGTTACTGGTCTGAGAGTTAATTAAATTTACTTACTTTCAAAACCTTTTATGGCAGACATGTGGAGGCCATTTCCAAATCTGACGCATCAGTGACAAAAATGATGTCTGATACTATTCATTAAAATGACTTGTACCCACGTCCTCGTGTTTCTTCAGGGGCGGTCGGGTAGCCTTGCGGTTAAAGCGTTCGCTCGTCACGCCGAAGACCCGGGTTGGATTCCCGACATGGGTACAATGTGTGAAGCCCATTTCTGGTGTCCCCCGCCGTGATATTGCTGGAATATCCGGTGGGACAGGATACGGTCACCTTGTCTCGAACTCCTGGTATCATCACTATTTGATAATACACCAGCCCATGCTTGTCATGTAGACGGAAGTGGACAATGGACTTTTAGAGAGTTTTATTATCAAAAATAATGTTTTTTTTATCGCTCTTATTTACAAACACTTGTTGGTTCCTGAATTGATGTTGTGCTGAAATAGGCAGAACGTAACCGTGGGTAATGCATACAAGTAATCAAAGTAGTGTAACAAAACAATAGAGAACAAATACAGTGTGAATTTTGAAGCATTTCACTTAAACATTCCCAGAATATAATGCTCTCTTGAATCATAACCTAACCAGTCAGTCAATGTTCTTATAACAGGGACCCGTGAAGATCCGGGGGAAATAGGTCTTCGTAAAAGGCGACTATGCTTGTCGTGAGTGGCGACTGACGGGATCGGGTGGTCAGGCTCGCTGACTTGGTTGATGCATGTCATCGATGCAAATTGCATGGATCGATGCTCGTGATGTTAATCATTGGATTGTCTGGTCCAGACTCGAATGTTGTCGTCATATACATGTAGCTGGAATATTGCTGAGTGCGGCGTTAAACAACAAACAAACAAACTCTTATAGCAGGACATTTACACGTTAATATATCAACAACAAAAACGGGTAGATTCAGGGAGAACCAGGCACGGACAATACCATAATGGTGTGTGACATGATTTGATCGCACTAAAGTAAAAATGTTAGATACAATGAAAATTCAATAGCATCTTTGTTTGCAATAATCAGGAATCAATGGCACCATGACCTTGAAATTTATGGACTCAATAACAACATTATCCGGCATAAGCGGGATTCAGTGTGATCAATTTGTTGGAAATTGACGATTTGATAACAACTATTTCCTGAATACTGAGGATCCGGTGAAAAATATCTTGAAAAAAAGGGTGTGAGTGAGTATGGTTTTACGCCGCTTTTAGCACTATTCCAGCAATATCACGGCGGGGGACACTAGCAAAGTGTTTCACACATTGTTTCCATGTTCGCCTTCAGTGTGACGAGTGAACTCTTTAACCACTAGGTTGTCCCACCGCCCTGAAAAAGGTCTATGTCCAAACGGAAAGACATCCGCCCGTATCCTCCAAAAAGTAAATGTGTGCATTGCCGTTCGATCTTTTTAATCGTATATATATTGGACGATGGTGGGGTGGATACAGGCGGAAGTCTTCCCGTTCAAACTTACGAAGAGCCTGTTAAAGTCCTAGGCCAGTGAATTATTTCCCCGACTGCTATTTCCGTACCATCAATGCCCGTCCAGTGATGTTTCCATAGCAACATGTTCCTACCAAAGGTGTTCCCAGCAACATTCTACCAGTGACTATAGCGACAAGGTACTTCCAGCGATGCTCTGTAGCAAAATGATCCTTGTCAGTGTGGGAATGCTGCTGCTGAATCGTCATGGTTATCCTTGTTTCCAGGATGGAGATACAGCTCGTCAACATCGCCACCGCCAGACACACGCCCGTCCTGACGGCCAGCATCATCTTCATCAGTGTCCAGTACATCAACACCTTCATTCTGGCCAGCAACGTCACCGGCAACATCATCGTCGACTCCTTCCCGTTCCACGTGGGTCAGGAGTTTCACATGGTCTTCACGTATCTGGTCAAGGGCTTCCGTGTGAGTGACAGATGATCCCCAACAAGAAACATTTACAACGACGTTATGTCCTCGGCAATGTCCTTCCATTCCTCAAAAATAATGAAACCGAGGCCCATCTGTTTTAAGGAATAGAGAGTTACGAGGATATTCCCCTACTTCAAACACATTTCTACTTTTACACTTTGACAAAACTTTCTCTGGTGGAAAAAAGACCGCCTCCGTGGTCTAGTGGTAGAGCGTCCGCCCGGAGAATGGTCGATCCCCGGCCGCGTCATACCAAAAGACGTTAAAAGATGGTACATGTTGTTACCCTGTCTGGCGCTCGGCATAAAGGGGATAAAACAAGGACTGGTCGGCTCAGAGTCTGTATACTGTGTCTGAGTGGGGTATTCATGTTAAACTGCCGCATGGTATCTCAGTGAGCTATTACTATAAATCGGCATCAGTCCGGACTAGTACAAGCAGCCACACAAACACACACGCGTACAAGCACGTCGCTATATAAGTGTAATAATCTTGGACGCGACGTTAAACCCCATTTCACCTCACCACCTCACCTCTGGTGGAAAATATTTGAAAATTACACCAGAACTCTTTGTGGACTGTATTTATGCTATGTGAGTCGCCCAAACCAACTTTAAGACAACATTATATTCATATTTTGTTGCTTTTAGGATCATGCAACTATTTGAAAATATTTAAGAGTTTGTTCGTACTGTCACGTGTCGTCGTAGCTGAGGTCGGCAATTAGATGGCCTCAGACCAAATGATGGGGCTTTGAACCCCGCTGGCGAGACGGGTTTTTTTTCGAAAAAGTTTGAAATCATTTAAAAACACGGTTCCGTCTGTTTCAAGTGTAAATTAATTGAAATGTTAGTGCAAGATAATATATAACTGACAACCACATGCCCATTCCTGAAAAATAATGAAACGTTTGAACAATTGAATGATGTCACAGATATTTCGTAACCATGTAATAGAGAGAGTTCCGGTTAACCTTGATTTCACCATTGTGTCAGTTATGTAAGGGCGTGTGAGTTTACAAAGCTTTCTGACGACTTTCACAACTTTGGAGAAGCTTTCTATCACGGATATAGCGCAGAAAGACCATGAATCATAATCAAGGCGACATTGGGATTTGAGTCTGGTGCGCTGAATGAACTTTAGATTTGCACGTACCCTAAGAGTGAGTGAGTGAGTGAGTGAGTTGGGTTTAACACCGCTTTAAACAGTATTCCAGTTATATCACGGCGTGTCAGCTTAATGTGGGAGGAAAGCCCGAAGTGATGCAGGTCTCAGACGTTTACCACTTCGGTGAAACCCACGAGCACGGGTATGGTGCTGACAAACCTAGAAACATAATCGGGGCGAACCGGGATTCGAACCCACAATCATAGGTTTCTGGCATGCCCAAGGGACGCAACTCTGCACAGCGAATCACGGCGCCTTGGACGACTGGGCCATCCGTGCCCCCGCACGTACCCTAAGATATTAAATACGTATATTATCTCTGTTACAATAAAATGCAAAGTACTTCTACCACTCTGTGACGATACATCCTCTCACACATCTGTTTGGTAATGAAATCGAATGTATAGATAAATACAGTGATATAAACAAGTTTGTCTAAATAGGACGTAGCAACCGGTGTACGTGCAAAATAATATCCGAATCAAAAAGACACTACTACTGCCTCTCCTACCCATATTGAACGTTAATGTTGAGTTTCACTCTAAATACTTATGACTGATAACGTAGAATAAGTACAGGATTATGATATAGTTTGTGTTTTTGTTTGTTGTTCAACGCAAAAGGAATATTGCTGAGTCCTGCGTTGAACAAAAAACAACAAACAAAGAAAAGAAAACAAACAAACAAACAAACAAATGGAACATCTGAGAAGGTAGCAAACAAATACGCAAGGCAGTATACTTACATTGATATGTATATCAAAGCTTGTATCTAAGTGGGCCATTTATACTTTTTCCCGACATGGGTACAATGTGTGAAGCCCATTTTGGTGTCCCCCGCCGTGATATTGCTGGGATATTGCTAAAAGCGGCGTAAAACCAAAGTCACTCACTCACTCACCATTTATACTTTAGTTAGTATAGTGATACTCGCAGTACTACAATAGGATACTCTGTTTACAGTTTCGTAAGTCACCAAAGACTTTGCTCTATTTTATGCGATCCGCAGGTAAGCGTTGACGGCCAAGACGTCAGAGACGTGCAGGTCGATGTAGAGGGAGATTTTATCCCCGCTGTGTCGATGCAAGGACCAATGGCCGTCCGGGCTGTCGAGTTTCAGATGCCAGGTATGTGTTAGTGAGGGAGTCAGGTATGTGTTAGTAAGGGGGTCAGGTATGTGTTAGTGAGGGAGTCAGGTATGTGTTAGTGAGGGAGTCAGGTATGTGTTAGTGAGGGAGTCAGGTATGTGTTAGTGAGGGAGCCAGGTATGTGTTAGTGAGGGAGCCAGGTATGTGTTAGTGAGGGAATCAGGTATGTGTTAGTGAGGGAGTCAGGTATGTGTTAGTGAGGGAGCCAGGTAAATGTAGATGAGGGAGTCAGGTATGTGTTAGTGAGGGAGTCAGGTATGTGTAAGTGAGGGAGTCAGGTATGTGTTAGTGAGGGAGTCGGTTGGAGTGTTATGGGGTGTCCGCTCAATACGAGGAGGAAGCCCAACGTCACGCAGGCTATAGTTCTTTACCACGTGGATGAAACCCACAAGAATTGATAGAAATTCAACTCGCTTACTCACAAGTTCACTCCGAAACCTCACAAGGTCACTCACAAGGTCACTCATAACGTCACTCATAACGTCACTCATAACGTCACTCACTTTCTTCAAAAGAGTAAACTCAGAGGAATAAATCTCACTGTGGTTGGTCATCTTTCATCTTTTCTATTGCAATTAATTTAGTTTCGTTATATTGTTTTCGCGCTTGTACAGTTGGTTTTTAGCAACTGCTAAATTAATAATGTTTTAATTCAATTGTGTAATTAAGCGGTCAGTCTCTACCGTTTCTTGTCTTTGCTCTTCATTCCCTGTGAAACTATTCCAGGCTAATGTATAGACACTATTAATGGCCTTTATCTGCAGGAGATGTACAAGAAGCAGCCACTGGCATCCAAAGCACCCAGGCGCCAGGTAACGTTGTTTGTTTGTTGTTTAACGCCGCACTCAGCAATATTCCAGCTATATGACGGCGGTCTGTAAATAATCGAGTCTGGACCAGACAATCCAGTGATTGACATCATGAGCATCAATCCACGCAATTGGGATCGAAGACATGCATCAACCAAGTAAGCGAGCCTGACCACCTGATCACCCGATGTAAATAATCGAGTCTGGACCAGACAATCCAGTGATTGAAATCTTACAACAAGCATAGTCGCCTTTTATGGCAAGCATGGGTTGCTGAAGACCCCGGATTTTCACGAATCCAGGCAACGTTGAGCAATGCTTGTTCAAAAGGTCCGTTTCAACGCATACAAAAACCATATTTTCCGCCTTCCATATAACGATTGACCCCACAAGAATACGAGTTGGTTGACAACATTCGATACCGGTTAAGAACAGGTCTTCAGCAACCCTGCTTGCCCCAAGAGGCGACTTTGCTTATCGTAAGAGGCGACTAACGGGATCGGCTGGTCAGGCTCGCTATCTACTACAAAATTCCTGCTTATTATTGCTCCCCTGTACACACAATACAGACATCACATTGATGTGGCATCATGTTGAGTGAGTATGATTTTACGCCGCGTGTTGCACTTTTCCAGCCTTTCCCCCGGCAGGGGACTCCAAAAATGGGCTTAACACTTTACCAATGAGGGGAATCAAACTCACGTCTTCGGAGTGACGCATGAACTAAGCTTTCCCAACAAATATTGCATGTTAAAATAGCTTGTACGTGTATATGATATACAACACATTTGAGGGAAAAAAAATCAGAGTTGGCCCACGAAAGCACGAGACATCCTCTCGAGTCAGGATGCTGTTCAACGTCGTTGATTTTGACTGTGCCTAAGGACCATTCTCACCTCAGCAATTTTCTTGAAATATTAAGTTATTCCCCAAAAAATGAAGAAAATGAATATATAGTACGACACTCATGATCATGTGGTCATATTTCAGAAAGTAAACTGCTGGTGTCGTAAACACCAATGATTAAAACAGGTGGGAAAACAAAAGGAATATTTGTTAAATGATCATTGACTCATACAAATAACCAAATAAACAACAACAAAATACAAGAGGACATAGAAATGTCAAAAAGGAGGTGATTTCGAAATTATATATGTTCATTACGAAATATTATGTGCATACAAAATGTGTCTATTATGATGTTTTTATCCTGTTCCCTTCGAGATAAACCACAGCGAAAACATCTTCAACGTGTTAGTTTGATAAATGGGCGTGCATGTCGTATTTGAAACGATATATATATTCTAATAAATATTAAATATTACATTCAGCAACCCAGGAAATAAATCTGGCGAACAAGCCTGTCACCTCCAGTAGTTCCTTCACAAACGACTCCGATCACCGAGTTGTTGATGGCAACGCTGCACACAACTGGAGCTCAGATTCCTGCTGGGCTGCTGAGATAGGGGACCTGCATCCGTGGTGGATGGTGGACTTACAGTCTAACTACACCATCGTCAACATCGTCATCACCAGCAGGAGTTCATGCGGGGAGCCGTGTGGTAAGTACACACTTATATGACGAAAGTGAGTGCGTCCGGGGTAGAATAGGTCTTCAGCAACCCACATTTGCCGTTAAAGGTGTCTATGCTTGTCGTAAGAGGCGACTAACGGGATCGGGTGGTCAGGCTCGCTGACTTGGTTGATGCATGTCATCGTATCCCAATTGTGTGGATCGATGCTCATGATGCCAATCACTGAACTGTCTGGTCCAGACTCGATTATTTACAGACCGTCTTCATATAGCTGGGACATTGCTGAGTGCGGCGTTCAACAACAAATAAACAAACTTAGTAATTATGTAAAAAGTTTAGAACGAGCGATTGAGTGAGTGATTGAGTGAGTGAGTGCGTTCCTGCGTGAGTGAGTGCGGTCTTGTGTGAGTGAATGAGTGAGTTTTAACATGTGCGAGGGCTGGCTGAAAAGTGGGAAAGACCCGTACTAAGTCGATGTTTTTCATTTATTTCTCCACATAGTCCCCTTCCAGGTTTACACACTTTTGCCAGCGATGCTGCAAGGCCTGGGGGGCACGGGTAGCCCAGTCGTCTAAGGCGCCGCGATTCGCTGTGCAGAGTTGCGGTCCTTGGGCACGCCAGAAACCTATGATTGTGGTTTCGAATCCCGGTTCGCCCCGATTATGTTTCTAGGTTTGTCAGCACCATACCCGTGCTCGTGGGTTTCACCGAAGTGGTAAACGTCTGAGACCTGCATCACTTCGGGCTTTCCTCCCACATTAAGCTGACACGCTGTGATATGACTGGAATACTGTTAAAAGCGGCGTTAAACCCAACTCACTCACTCACTCACTCACAAATTTTCTTCAGCCACCCTAAAAAAGTCATTCACAGCGGAAATGACGTCATCATTACTAGGAAAATGGCGACCGGCTAGTTCCTTTTTCATTTTAGGAAACAGTCGGAAGTCTGACGGGGCCAAATCGGGTGAATAAGGGGGATGGTCAATGAGTTCGAAGCCACAATCATGGGTCGCTGACATGGCAACCACCAATTTATGAACAGGAGCATTGTCTTGGTGGAACAGGACTCCTTTAGTGAGCATTCCCCGTCGCTTAGCTTTGATAGCTTTACGCAACTGTCTCAGTAGGTCAGCATAATATCTTCCATTGATAGTCTGGCCTTTTTCAAGATACTTTTACTCAATCAGCAGAATATCCTTGCAGCAGAAGGAACCGACTTGGCTTTTTGGGGAGCTGGTGATTCCGGATGCTTCCATTTTTTAACTGAATTTTGGTTTCTGGTTGAAAGTGATGAATCCAGGTCTCATCCATGGTTACAAATCGAGCCAATAAATCATCGGGATCTGCTTCAAAACGGCATAAATTGTCACGGGACGTCAGGAATCTGACATGTCTCTGATCCGCTGTCAAGAGCTTTGGCACCTATCTTGCAGAAACTTTTGTCATTCCTAACTCGTTGGTGATAATGTGCTCAACCCTCTCATGAGAGATCCCCACAACACTGGCAATATGTCGAGTGGTCAATCGTCGATCAGCCATCACCATGTCATGCACCCAGGCAATGTTTTCCGGAATGGTTGCTGTTGAAGGCCTTCCTGGACGCGGGTTATCGTCAAAGCTCTCTTTGCCACGCTTGAATTCCGCAGCCCACTTCTTTACAGTGGAAAAGGAAGGGGCATCATCCCCTAAAGTGGAGACCATGTCAGCATGTATCTGTGTTGGAGTTAGCCCTTTCAATTGCAGGTACTTGATGACTGCCCTAAAGCCAGTTTTGTCCATTTCTGGTGATTTCAATGGGTAGGTTCACAAGATGGTCTGGTACAGAGACAATAATAACACCACAGTTGCAGTTCTTATGTCTATGATTCATTAAATGATTGTACTTGTTGGTGGCAAAAGTTGGTTTCAATCCGATTGAGATATCCCACTTAGGCTTAGAACTTTTCAGCCAGCCCTCGTAAGTGAACACTTATATGACGAAAGTGATCCAGGTTAAGTGGAAACGAGTATGGTGCTGGAAAACCTAGAAACATAACGAGAGCAAACCTGTAGTTTGCACAGCGAGTTGCGGCGCCTTAAGGGACCGGGCGAGCCGCGCCCTTCATGCAAAATAGCAATACCGCACAACATATTGACGAGTTTATCTTGATGAACATTGTCGTTATGCCAAAGGACGAAACGTAAGGATCAGTGGATTACAGCAAGTACTGAACAAACATGACCATCTGGAAAGGCCAAACACTCAGACCTTGCTTACTGAGAGAACCATCACGTCCGTTGCCCATTGCACCTCATGCTATTGATCACTAGCGGACCATTAAATGGCCTCCATGTCCACCAACTTGTTATGTATGTGTTGTCTCCCTCATGTCGGTCCACCATGTTCATTTGCTCATCTCCTGTTTGGCTTGTAGACTCAAGGCTTCACGACTTCAAGATAGAGTTATTCGATCAAGAACCACGACCCTCTGATGTGGGCGTGGAGTGTCTGACGTTTACTGGAGTGTTTCCTCACACGACCACCAGAGCTCTACAGTGTAACACGGCGGTCCGGGGACGCTTCCTGAGACTCAACTCTCCGGGGAGGTCTGACCAACGTGATCTTCTGACATTGTGTGAAGTGCAGGTGTTTGGGGAGAAAGTAATTTAAATGTAGGTATGTCACGAGTCTTGTCACCGTGTTGAAAAACCAACGTGTTTTTTAAGTGTTTCTTTTTATTTATATTCAGCAGAATATCTGCACATAAACACAGCAGACGTAATTCAAAATTAACATAACGTTTATTGAGCAAAATCATTAAATGGTCTATCGTGTCAATGGGTTGTCTGGTCAAGACTGGATTATTTACAGGCCGCCGTCTTATGGCAGGCGTTCTTGTCACTGGATTGTCTGGTCAAGAAGATTATTTACAGGCCGCCGTCTTATGACTGGCGACCGCCTCCGTGGTCTTTTGGTAGAGCGTCCTCCCGGAGAGCGGAACGTCCAGGGTTCGATCCCGGGCCGCGTCATTCAAAAAGACGTTAAAAGATCATTGTACTTGTTGTTACCCTGTCTGGCGCTCGGCATTAAGGGGCTAAAACAAGGACTGGTCAGCTCGGAGTCAGTATACTGTGTCTGAGTGGGGTATTCATGTTAAACTGCGGCATGGTATCTCAGTGAGCTAGCACTATAAATCGGCATCAGTCCGGACTAGTACAAGCAGCCACACACACACACATACACGTGCATGCACGTCGCTATATAAGTGCAATAATCTTGGACGCGACGTTAAACCCAATTTCACCTCACCTTATGACTGGCGTTCTGCTGTGCAGCGTCTGGAAACAAAAAGCCACTTGCTTTTGTGTACAAATTGTGAGAGTGTCGGGTGCTACCGGTAGGGCAGGACATGCCTAGTACCCTTTTAAAGCAAGATCGCTATTCCCTATTTTGACTTGTACCATATGTTCCCCTGTTTATGTCAGATAAACAATTGACTTGCCTTTGCAAGTGTTTGTGACGGGTGCCACAACTGCCTCTTATTGGTCTCAGCAGAATATTCTTTGGCCTTGACGTTTCATATTTTATATTTGCTTATCATATCATGGAGTTCGTACCACTGTCCCTCAGTCCCCTTATCTAGCCGACAGACTCTCTGCGCGTACCCAACCCGTAAAGATCCGGGGTAGAATAGGTCTTCAGCCATATTTGCCTTAAAAGGTGTCTATGCTTGTCGTAAGAGACGACTAACGGGATCGGGTGGTCAGGCTCGTTGACGTGCTTCATGTCATCTTATTCCAATTGCGTGGATCGATGCTCCTGATGTCAATCACTGGATTGTCGGGTTCAGACTCGATTATTTACAGACCGCCGTCATATTGCTGGAATATTGGTGAGTACGGCGTAAAACATCTCACAAACAAAGTACATGACCCATCTCAGAAGTTTTGTGTGACAGAGGCAAGGAGGGAATAAATTAGTATATGATTTCCAAAACAACGATATGATTATATGGGAGGTATTTGGTGACTACGTGTCTATCACTGGAGTGGCAATCAAAACCGACCTTAATGTAATCACAATTTACACTGACACTGAGGAATTTTAGATAATATTTTCCCTCGTCATATGTTATGACTAGATATGGAAACAGCGCTACAGCTGTGTCAATCTACATGTAGTTGCCAGTAACTTGATTGCCTAACAAGGAACAAGTTTGGTTTAATAACTCGAAGACAATAGAGGCAAGTTTCAACTCGAACTACTTTCGGCTTCTCGGATTCACACAGTTTGCACTTTGGCCTTTCCCTAAATAACTCGATGAACCGAAAACTAACAAGTCAATTCTCGAGTATGAATATCTCTGACACAAAATGTAAGAAGAGCTTTCTTTTCTGAATCGGGATTATTTTTGTTAAAGAAGAAGTGATTTAATTAAATACAAGACGTCAATAACCAGTCTTGATTTTCCATCAAAAAATTCCATCGGCCAGAAAAGGCAACAAGCAGGGAAATTATATGAATGGATCACTGAAAATCACTGCTGATTACAGCATGTTTTCTCGAAAAGTGTAAGCAGGTCCTGCTTTACCGATACCACCCGCTACTCACACAATTTGTATACAGAAATAAGCGTGTTGTTTTCCTGGCACCACACATCAATACCCCATTATATAACATGGTAAATGATTAATCTATATCCTTTTCAGACTGAGTTGCCCACAAACCTCTTCCTGAGTCCCGGATCGAGTTGTTGTTCCCGTGTTTCGTCTGTATCCAACAGGGCGTGATAGAATTATATGAAGCTGATTTCAACAGTATTTATTAGTGTCTGTATTATAATCGTGCCACAGGAAATAAAATGTAAGCACGATCATATTGTGTCCTGTCCTTTATTAATGACTGCAGGTCTTCTCATTGGGTACTGAATATATATTTGCTTTTCACTGACGCGGAACTCGTCTTGAACATGGGTGGACTTGTACATGGGTGGACTTGAACATGGTGGAACTGTACATAGGCGGACATGTACATGGTTGGACTTGTATATTGGTGGACTTGGGTAGACTTGAACATGGGTGGACTTGTACATAGGCGGACTTGTACATGGGTAGACTTGGGTAGACTTGAACATGGGTGGACATGTACATTGGTGGACTTGTACAAGGGTGGACTTGACCATGGGTAGACTTGTACATAGCTGGACTTGTACATGGGTGGACTTGGGTAGACTTGAACATGGGTGGACATGTACATTGGTGGACTTGTACAAGGGTGGACTTGACCATGGGTAGACTTGTACATAGCAGGATTTGTACATGGGTGGACTTGGGTAGACTTGAACATGGGTAGACTTGAACATGGGTGGACTTGTACATTGGTGGACTTGGGTAGACTTGAACATGGGTGGACATGTACATTGGTCGACTCGTACATGGGTGGACTTGACCAAGGGTGGACTTGTACATGGGTGGACTTGTACATAGCCGGACTTGTACATGGGTGGACTTGGGTAGACTTGAACATGGGTAGACTTGAACATGGATGGACTTGTACATTGGTGGACTTGTACATGGGTGGGATTGACCATGGGTGGACTTGTACATGGGTGGACTTGTACATGGTTTGACTTGTACATAGGCGGACTTGTACATGGGTCTTTCAGAGCGGGTTAAGTCAGTACGTGATGTTGTCATTGGTAGAATGCACAAACTTAAAAAGGAAACGAAATTGGAATAAACCCATTCTGTCCCAGCCAGCTGTTATCCAGAGTCTGACTGCCCTACATGACAAGGCCTCAAATGACATAACCATTATATGTAAGCATCACGACATTAATTGTTTGATCAAAGAACTTGGTATAAATGATATATCAAATAATTCCACATATAGGGCCAGTATGTTAATTGGGGAAGAAATCTGCCAATAACATAAATCAGTACTATCACCTTTTGACTTGACTCTAAAACCTGAAGACATGTCCATTCCTCTTTTGTATTGGGGCCACTTGCACAAAGCGATCTTTGCGCTAAGATGATCGTAACTTCCATACTTTAACATAGGCTTACAATAGTCGTAGCGCTAAGCTCGCTTTGTTCAAGTGGACCCTGGTTTCCAAAGCTCGATAAAAAGCCGTACAAAGAGAGGACTGATATATTCCTGGGTCCAGCAAATGTACCACCTAGTCCCTGGCTCAAAGACTGACCATAATCCTTAATACAATCAAGGAGGGCTTTCTTTATATTCACAAAAAGTATTTGAGACAAGTGGAAATAATACCATGAGGATTTTTAAGAACTCAAAGGATTTGCTTGACCTTTTACAAATCTCAGAAAAGAACCAAGTTCCATTCTGTCAAAACATTTGATTTTTCAACTTTGTATACCACTCCCACATGACATACTAAAGGAAAAACTGCATTCCTTGGTCCATGGGGCTTTTGTTACAAAACGGAGTGTACACAGATACAGATACGCATCTGTATTCAGAGATTCGGGACAATTTGTGAAAAATGAAACCAAATGATATCTGAAGTTTACTGAGAAAACAATATGTGAAATGCTGGACTTCCTTAGATAACATCTCCGAAATATTTGAGTGTAAGACATTTAGGCAAGAAGTAGGCATCCCCATGGGCACCAATTGTGCTCCCCTTCTTGCAGATCTGTTTCTTTATGCATAACGAATCGGATTTTCTGTTCGGACTGGCAAAGACAAAACAAGGTAATTTGCAATTGGCTAAGAAGTGTAACTTCAGCTTCAGGTATATCGATGATCTGATAGTCTGATTTTACTGCAGTCGGGTAAAACTGAACAGATCAGAGGTGCAGTGCCATACTCATGGATGTTAAGTCAACAGACCTACAGATTACGGATTGAACATAAGTCTGTCAGGTTTCTTAGTGCTTAATTATTTGTTTCTGGAGAATTTGTTTCTTATACAAGCGCTGTGCAACATTTCAACATAAACATTATGAACAATAATACATAAAGCGCTGCGTGTGAAGATAAATTTATATACGTTTGACTATGTAACAGATGTCAACACCTTTTTACACGGTAACATTTAGATACATTCAAACGATATCACACTTGAACTTGAGACCGCCTCCGTGGTCTAGTGGTAGAGTGTCCGCCCGGAGAGCGGAAGGTCCGGGGTTCGATCCTCGGCCGCGTCATACCAAAAGACGTTAAAAGATGTTACTTGTTCTTACCCTGTCTGGCGCTCGGCATTTAGGGGCTAAAACAAGGACTGGTCGGCTCGGAGTCAGTACACTGTGTCTGAGTGGGGTATTCATGTTAAACTGCGGCATGGTATCTCAGTGAGCTAGCACTATAAATCGGCATCAGTCCGGACTAGTACAAGCAGCCACACACACACACACACGTACATGCACGTCGTTATATAAGTACAATAATCTTGGACGCGACGTTACACCCAATTTCACCTCACCTCACTACCAAATGGTGTATTTCATTTAATCGATGTTACAGAATGGTATTTAGTTAACAACGTTAACCCCTTAACAAATTACTATATGTCGATTTTTGTTAATATTCAAGACCTATATTTCTGTTCAGTTACCTCGCCACTATACCGACATAAATAATTCTTATAACGTAATCCTTTTGTTCCAACCGTGTATTATCTCCCACGAATAATTCCATCCAAATGCATGTAGCTGAACCCCCCTATCAACATGAACTCGTTCTCCACGTGCATCAAGTGTTGTACCCTCGACATCTCGAACTGCTCATTCAATCGCCTGTTTCATTCCGAAACAGGTGTTGTTGGTTGTATTTGCGCGTTGGCCCTTCGTCAACATTGAATTATTTAAGTGAAAGAAATGAACTGACCAATATATTTTCTTTTAAATTCAATGCCTTTGTCATTCAGAAAGTATCGTGGGGTCACCTCCCCACACAAATATTATCAATATGCCCTACCAATAGAGGGTCAATGCCCAACATCCATCAATATTTTAACGAATGAACATTAATTTATTGTATGGATTATATACAGATCTTACTAAGTATATATGTTTTACATTTTGCAAGCATGGAGGATGATATTAAAGTAAAATGCAAATAGTTTTGTAACTGTTTCTAATAACTAGCTATAGTGGAGGATATTCGAAATGGCTGAACATGGAGAAAGCATCAAGTTAGTGATAGATGTGACAGATCTCACAGGGTAACATGCATCAGGTCCATTATCTTGTGGTCATGTCAACGTTTTTCTTTTCATGTAATTCATTTCAATTTAACTGTTATTCCGAAGAACTGAAAAAATGGAAATGAAGTATTATTGGAAAGTGAGAGAAGAAATTAGTAGTCATGTTTATGATAAACAACAGTACTAGTTGTTACTTCAGAGGAACCCTATTTCAAAACCTTCTCTTACTCTTTTACCGTATATAATATTAACATGGAAACAAAACAATGACGTCAAACAAAGCATTATCCATGGACTTATTTATTTGCTTATTGTTGACATACATGGGTTGACATTAATCAAAACATTACATGCAAAACATATCTTCTGTGACTTCCACTAAAATGCGAAGAGCCTCCACAGAAACTACACGGGAACAACGAAGAAAGTTTGTAACGTTTCAAGCTTCACTCATTACTAATATCTACTATAATTTGCTTCCTTGTGCGAATGCGAGTACTACTTGGCTCCTCGGTTCTCAGTTTCATAAGGCTTTACACAGGTAGTATATAGATATATAGATATACAACGAGATATTTCGCATCTATCACACAATCATTCGACAATGACAGCACATCCAACTCCACGGTAGACGGGACATAGTCATTTGCGCACCGATAAGATAACTCCTACCGACCGGGTGGTTTGGTGGTTCAAAGCGAAACGGACGATTCTGTCTGTTGTCTAATAAATATTTGGCGGCGCCTTTGATCTTGCCTCAAATCATGCATGTAGTAGGAGTAAACGATGATCAGGACGGCGTGGAAATAACACGATTCTTTCTTGTTGCATTTCAAGGCACCAATGCATCATTCATGAGTTTGTTTTGTGTATGTGTGTCCTATGTATCCACGAATAACTAGAACGTTACAAAAAATATATACAAGCTAAGTATTGCCCATAGCAAATATTTATTTACTTAATTGCGACAGTGTGGTTTATCAACACATATATAACGCGTATTATATGACGTAGTTACAATCCGGGTCGTGATCAGCAGTCAGGTGACTGTGAATAGTAATATTCAGTGGTGATTGTGAACAAAGTAGTATGGGCTGCCTACAATTCAGTATTAAAAGATATAAGAAATAACATTATATAAATAGGAACATTTGTCTATCCCTTCAGGTACTGATCATGACATGTAACTGAAAGATATTCACAAGAAACACGGTGAAGGGCAAGTCATTCTCATCCGATGAACTGAACAATCTTTGTGAATCTGGACAGTTTAGAGGTACACTTATGAAGATATCCTTCAAACACTTGGATGGAATTATACAGTTTTCTTTGGTCTGAGATCTAAGATGATATACGAAGTGGGGCATATTATGGATCCAACACATGCAAGGAAAGCATGTCGCCACTCTAGCTCAGGCCAAACCTACTGACATCAAACATTTTTCTTTCGCCCTGAACAAAACATATAAAGCCATGGTCATGAGGCCCACCAATCGTTTGGTTCCCAATGATCCATCTAATTTGGCCATCAATGCCAGACAGGTTTCTGGTCTGTGTGAGATGGTTTTCAAGCGCCATCCAGGAACTCTCTCTCTCTCTCTCTGAGCAATCCATTATTAAATCAGCTGGCCCCCCATGAAATATACGTTTTGTTATAGTGCAAACATTTCAATACTTTTATTTAAAATAGTGCAAACCATTTCAATACTTTTATTTTACATTTCATTTATCTTAATACCTAACTGGTTCAATATGTTTCCAAGTGCACCGAAATTCTATGCCCTTTGTCTGTTTAATATATTCAGCAAACATTTGGCGTATCCCCTCTTATCATAAGCCCCTCCGGGCAGGACCCTTAATCTCCAGCGCTATCTATAAATTTCAGTTAAGACACCTCCTTACGTCGCCGGATCTTACGTATATACATACACGTTACGTAATACCTCGCTCTACAAAACCCGACTGATATGGTCAGTCAGGGAGACAGCCAGAAGATCGACTCGTGTAAGTGACCGAACAGTTCTCCAACCCGGGAAGATTGGCCACTCGGTCCCGGTGTGCGTTCTGTCACGTTATTATCAACATGTACCTTTTCGACTTTTTCCAAACCATCAACAATAAACATGGCTGCTGTCGTCTTAAAATTCACCCCTGAGTTTTGTCATCCGTCTCCACCCTGAGCTACCATCCGAGGGCTGAAACTTACGCCCTTGGACAGTTTCATAATCACACAGTCCACGTTTGATAATGGTGCAACGCTCCACGGATTGTAACGTCTCCCACCTCATATCATGAAACTTTCCGTCCACAAAATGTTCAACCAGTGATAACGTGTTTCCGAGGAACATAGAACAATATGCAACTTTATTGCTGCTGAGACGGTTCCTTCCTTGCCTTGTACACAAGCGACAGCCGTACGTCAGTCACAATCACAGTTTTAAAAGTTTGAGTTAAGGGTTAACAGTTTGTCACCCTCACAATCAACTCTTCAGGACGCGTAGATTTCCACTTAAAAAATAACAGCTCTAACAGTCACACTTGCACCCTGGAAATGTACAGCATGGCTATCACAGGTGTAAAGATGTGTAATGCAACTAAAGCAAGATCCCTATTTCTCTAGTTACGCTTGTTCCATATGTTCCCGTGCTTTTGTTAGGTGAAAAATTGACTTGCCTTTGCATGTGTTTGTGACGGGTGCCAACGGTGGAGCAGGATACGCTCAACTTTTCGCGAACACCTGCGTGCTTGCGTGTGTGCGTACGTGTGTTTGTGTGTTCGCTATGTTTTGTGCGTGAGTCTAGCAGAAACTAGGAAAAGTGTTTCGGGCGTAAAACAGTCTTCAAACGATTGTGTCCGCGCTGTTGTCTCACGCCCAATCTGGGAGGTGTGTTCCAACATCGGCCATGCGGCGAGGTCAGGACTCCAAGTAGACGGCGAGCCTGACAGCGATCCCCATTCCAGCTTGAAAGCTCCAAAGCGTAAACGTGTCATTTACAGTGACACCTCCTATGATGATAAAACTGTTCGGTTTTCAGAAAGTTTGAAAAATGAATCCGTAGACTGTCTATTTGGAACATGCTTATCCTCCCTCGGCGGCATCTCAGTTAAGTACGTCCGACGCACGGTCGCTACTTTCAAATGTAGTGTTGATAACACGCTTCATTTTTTTATGTTTGCATGGAATTATTAAAACACAACGATCACGTTTGCATGAAACCCCCATCACGTTTCTGCTGTTTCTTGAAAGAAGAGACACTAACAGCCAGGAACTATTTTGTCAGCATCGTGTCACCAGTGACGTCAGAGGTAACGTCAAAATGTCGCCGTGACCATGATCTTTCTCCAATGGCTTTGTACATATAGCCAGATTAACATCCGATAGAAGTAGGATTAATTCTTAAAGAATTACATCTACATAAATACACATCTTGCAGACTGAACTTTATTCAAACGGGATAAAATACTTAAGGTTCCAAAGCAACCTATGCTGGTCGTATGATGTGATTTAATGGTCACACACACATACACACACTTGATAAATAAATAATAACCTACATTTAGGTCTGAAACACACAACACCCTGTCTTCTGAAGAGACATTTCTTTTGTATGCTAAGAATGATTAAAATAATAATATGCTGTCAAATTGCGATATAATAATGTAAACCTGGTATTTTATATGTGCTTGATATTGAATAATTAGTCATTCATATATGGAAAATTGAGACGAACATTGAAAATGCAATCACCTTTCGACAAATCGATAAGGCTATACTTGGCCCAGATGTATAAGGGTCCGTATTGCGTTCTGCAATGTTTGCGTCCTTTGGTCGTGATTTGTTTGAATCCCCAATGCGCCAATTTCATACATATGATCACCCGTGAAGATCCGGAGTAGAATAGGTCTTCAGCAACCCATGCTTGCCTTAAAAAGTGACTGTACTTGTCGTAAGATGCGACCAACGGGATCGGGTGGTCAGACTCGCTGACTTGGTTGATGCATGTCATCGATTCCAATTGCGTGGATCGATGTTCATGATGTCAATCACTGGATTACTTACAGACCGCCGTCATATAGCTGGAATATTGCTGAGTGCGGCGTAAAACAACAAACAAACGTTTTGGGGTTAACACCCCTCATGAGCTTAACTTCACCTGATTTGTGATCTGTGCGCTGTGCACAGGACCACGCGCCATCCAAATGGATCAGTGAATAATGTCCCATCCAATTCCCTATTTTGACTTGTACCATAATTTAATTATGTTCCCGTGAACACTTGACTGGTCTTTGCATGTGTTTGTGGCGGGTGCCATTGGCCGGGCAGGATACGCTCACCTGGTATCATCAGTATCCCATGGTGATTCATAGACACAGGTATATGATATAGTCGGAATCGCACAATGGACTATGCTTTCAGAAGGCTTTCCTTACAATTGCAGAAATAGTTTTGTCGTTCATATTTAAAAAATTCTCCAAAAATATTTATTAACTCGCTAAACATGGAATCTATAAATAGATGACAGCACGATAATAATATTATCGTCTATATATTATCTTTTTTTTACAAATAGTGAACTCAAATATTGTTTCTGACTTTTGTCTGCACTGTTACATTGCATCGGTATATATAAGTAACATCATAAATACGTTTTATATATACTTAAAGAATCCGCATACCTTGCATCACTCAAATGTTCCTGGTAAAACATAACATACAGTGCATGTCCCACATCCGGGGATCGTAAGAAATGTCACAATTCTGAAATAAAATTAAAGCAATTTCAGGCTAAAGCTCCACCCAGGCCAACGTTAGTTACATGCATCATGAAACACAACCTACATTACCTGCAGTTTCTGCCCTTGATGACCACATTTCACAACTCTTGATGTACCCCCGAGCATGCTCTTACTACCAAGATTCCAAAGAGCGCCACACAACTCTTGCTCAGTTGTTGTTAGATGACGATTACAAAATGAAAGGCCTCAGTAAAGCTTTCAAATATTATTTTTTTTATGGTAGACATGAGGAGGACATTTCCAAATTTGACAAATCAAGCTACAAAAATGATCTCCGACGCAATTCCCTATTTTGACTTTTTGGCATGTTCCCCTGCTATCTTAGGTGAACAATTGACTTGCCTTTGCATGTGTTTGTGACGGGTGCCATCGGTGTCGCTTTTATTTGTACAATGATATATATATATATCATTGTCACTTGAGGCATCATTAGTTACAAACTCTTTGTGTTGCCTTCCCTTATTTCCGTGACCCATAATGGGTGCTTCCGGTTAGACGGGACATAATCATTCTTACTGCAACACCCTATGTCATCACTGTAACATGTCCACTGATTCGTGTGTTCTTAATTTTGTAGGTCCTGTTTAACCGACTTGTTGTCTAGTTGGGACAGGAAAACGACTATGATTATCCTGTATGATTAGCGTGTCAGCCTGATGTTGGGGAAAGCAAGAAGTGGTGCAGGCCTTTAAGCATTTACCACCTCAGTAAAATATAAAACGTCAACGCCAGAGAATAACCAGTCTTGATTATCCAACGAAACTGATTCCATTGGGGTAAAAAATATATGAATGGATCACAGAAATCCGTGATGAAACCAGGGTTCGCACCAACATATCCATAAGAATGGGTATGGTGCTGACAAACCAAGAAACATAATCAGTGCGACTAGAATTACGTCCTTCGATCACAGGTTTCTGGCAAGGGACGCAACTCTGCCCAACGTTTTCCAACGCCTCAGGTTGGGCCATCCGTGCCGCGACATGATTATTTCGGTGGCTCAAAGTTCGCATCCAAATAAATTTATATGCAGTGTAGTATTTCCAGATAAACTAGAGTAAAAAACAATACTCCGAAGTCAAAAGGACCTAGCAATATACGTATCATACTGTAACGTTTATTGTCAAGTCCACGAGAAGAATAAGTTCGCATTGTCGTACTTGTACATCTTTAATTCATAAAACTGACGTGCGTGTAATAATCATTTCATAAAACAATGCCACACAGAGTTTTATTTCACCTGTCGTCTAAATCATGCAGGTTAAGGTGTTAGCATCAGAAAAAAGCAAGATATAAGTATTCATGTGATGTTAAACTCCAATTGGCCACTGACATGTTTAACATGCCCTGCAGCCAGATCGTGTATACGGCCTCCGGTGCATTAGGATCTGTTAACTGGGCAAGACGTACATTCTGCCGTATTCTCAAACATGAATTCTGCCAGTTAGGTCGTGTGTTCAACGTGCTGTGCTACAAACGTCAAGGTAAGACATTTACCGTTTTGGTTTCTTTATTTATGTATCCTTGGTACATTGAACCAGGATACGAATATATACTTTTCAACGTGTATCACCTTTTCGATCTCAGCTACTGTGCTGTTCACGATTATTTGAAAATTCGTTTATAGATATATGATGGCATAAGGGCCTAGATTCATGCTGCAATTTTAGTGTGTAAGGTGAAGATATAAAACAACTTAATACGTACAATGACAGATTTATGAACAACCTTACATGTACTAGGATACTTATACGTCAACCCTGCGCGTGCTGTTACAGACTTATAAAACAACCTTAGCTGTACTTGGATACACATATAAAAACAGCATTACGTGTTCTCATATACACACATAAACAACATTACGTGTACTTAGATACACACATAAACAACATTTCATGTACTGGGATACACATATAAACAGCACTCATGTACTTGGATACACACATCAACAGCATTACGTGTACATCTTAAAACTCCATCAAGTCTTACCCTGCATACATGTTATAACTCCATGCAGTCTTACCCTGCATGCATGTTATAACTCCATGCAGTCTTACCCTGCATACATGTTATAACTCCATTCAGTCTTACCCTGCATACATGTTATAACTCCATGCAATCTTACCCTGCATACATGTTATAACCCCATGCAATCTTATCCTGCATAATGTTATAACCCAATGCAATCTTACCCTGCATACATGTTATAACTCCATGCAGTCTTACCCTGCATGCATGTTATAACTCCATGCAGTCTTACCCTGCATAATGTTGTAACTCCATGAAGTCATACCCTGCATACATGTTATAACTCTATGCAGTCTTACCCTGCATACATGTTATAACTCCATGTAGTCTTACCCTGCATACATGTTATAACTCCATTCAGTCTTACACCGCATACATGTTATAACTCCATGCAGTCTTACCCCGCATACACGTTATAACTCCATGAAGTCTTACCCTGCATACATGTTATAACTCCATGCAGTCATACCCTGCATACATGTTATAACTCTATGCAGTCTTACCCTGCATACATGTTATAACTCTATGCAGTCTTACCCTGCATAATGTTATAACTCCATGTAGTCTCACCCTGCATACATGTTATAACTCCATTCAGTCTTACACCGCATACATGTTATAACTCCATGCAGTCTTACCCTGCATACACGTTATAACTCCATGAAGTCTTACCCTGCATACATGTTATAACTCCATGCAGTCTTACCCTGCATACATGTTATAACTCTATGCAGTCTTACCCTGCATACATGTTATAACTCCATGTAGTCTCACCCTGCATACATGTTATGACTCCATTCAGTCTTACACCGCATACATGTTATAACTCCATGCAGTCTTACCCTGCATACACGTTATAACTCCATGAAGTCTTACCCTGCATACATGTTATAACTCCATGCAGTCTTAACCTGCATACATGTTATAACTCCATGCAGTCTTACCCTGCATACATGTAATAACTCCATGAAGTCTTACCCTGTATACATGTTATAACTCCACGAAGTCTTAACCCGCATACATGTTATAACTCTATGCGGTCTTACCCTGCATACATCTTAGAACTCCATGAAGTCTTACCCTGCATACATGTTATAACTCCATGAAGTCTTACCCTGCATACATGTTATAACTCCATGAAGTCTTAACCCGCAAACATGTTATAACTATATGTGGTCTTACCCTGCATACATGTTATAACTCTATGCAGTCTTACCCTGCATACATGTTATAACTCCATGAAGTCTTACCCTGCATACATGTTGTTACTCCATGAAGTCTTACCTTGCATACATGTTATAACTCTATGCGGTCTTACCCTGCATACATGTTATAACTCTATGCAGTCTAACCCTGCATACATGTTGTTACTCCATGAAGTCTTACCTTGCATACATGTTATAACTCTATGCAGTCTTACCCTGCATACATGTTATAACTCCATGAAGTCTTACCCTGCATACATGTTACAACTCTATGCAGTCTAACCCTGCATACATGTTATAACTCTATGCGGTCTTACCCTGCATACATGTTATAACTCTATGCAGTCTAACCCTGCATACATGTTGTAACTCCATGAAGTCTTACCTTGCATACATGTTATAACTCTATGCAGTCTTACCCTGCATACATGTTATAACACATGCAGTCTTACCCTGCATAAACGTTATAGCTCCATGCAGTCTTACCCTGCATACATGTTATAACTCTATGCGGTCTTACCCTGCATACATGTTATAACTCGATGAAGTCTTACCCTGCATACATGTTATAACTCCATGAAGTCTTACCCTGCATACATGTTATAACTCGATGAAGTCTTACCCTGCATACATGTTATAACTCGATGCAGTCTTACCCTGCACACATGTTATAACTCCATTCAGTCTTACCCAGCATACATGTTATAACTCCATGAAGTCTTACCCCGCATACATGTTATAACTCCATGCAGTCTTACCCTGCATTCATCTTAGAACTCCATGCAGCCTTACTCACCATACGTCTGAAAACTCCATGCAGTCGAAACTTGCATACATTTCATTACTCCATGCTGTCTTGCGTCATAATAGCGATTCACTTAAGAGCGAGTTTCTGTCGTCTTGGATATGGTCCGTTTCATATCTACACTATTATTCTAATTGTTCAGATTTTACTAAAACAGATCATTCGCTGGACATTTCAGGTGACCTGAAGTAAATGTGTTGTGAACAAATGTTGGGGTCCACCTTACAGAGAAAAAACAACTTGTGTTTGGAAAAAAGTTCCTGTAAAATATGCCGTCTGTGACAAAATCCAGGCTCCCAGAATGTTAAATGTACGGCCCTTAATATAAAATTATCACAACCAATGGAAGATCCAATATGATGTGACACACCCACACATGGTGTCGTCCTGACAATGTATGTATTGTTCCACCTACCACTGTCCATTGTTGACGCTCGTGTACGGGCTACACCTCCAAAAAAACCATGATCGCTGCGAGGACACAATTAACATATGAAAGCCTTAGACAGTTGATACACATTAACAACGAGCTGTCAACATATCCCTGGAGCTTGTATTTGCGACATTAACATATGGAGTGTATGGCAGCGATTTCTGGGGGAAAGTTTCATCAAAAGATTGCATCATTGATAATTCCTGAAGATATTTTTCAAGAAAAGCTCAACATCTTCCCAAACACACAACTATTATTGAAGCGAAAGGCATCATTGTCAGTTCAATTCATAAACGTACACTGTTGCTTATAGTCAGACTGTATGGATAAAACCTTACACATATCACATGCAAGTATTTTTAGTCTAAATGTTATAACATAATATAAGTTTTACAACACAATGCAAGTAGCAGGAGATGATAACAATGTACAGTAAACTACGGTTATAACGAACACGCTTATAACGAACTGACGGATATAACGAACTCACTTTTTTGGTCCCGACTATTTGCTGTTGTTATACTGTATATATGCTTATAACGAACTACGGTTATAACGAACTAAAATTAGTAGTCCCTTTGAGTTCGTTTTAACCGTACTTTACTGTATGTTTTGATACCCGTTTCTTTATATATGCTCCACCTTGGCGAAATGTAATAGGTAGTGAAGTGAAGTGAAGTGAAGTGAAGTGAAGACACCGGAAAGCAAATGTGCTCGAAATACCGTGTTAGCACTGTGATGACCTGCGAACCTAACAACACTTCCACGTACCCTGCCTGACTAATAATCAGACAGAAAGACAATATGCTTTCTTGAAGTCAACACAAATACAGTAAAAATGCCCACGCTTCTTTCTGATATATTTATGTGTCAGTGAACATAAATAAATATGCGATTAATCTTCTCTAAAAGCTGCTTGGCATTCTGACAGTGTCTGTTTATGCGAGATTCAATAATTGATATGAATATTTTACTTAAAATTATATCTAAAATGGCAATGCCTCTGCAGTTATTTGCGTCATCCTACGAGCCGGATTTATGTAATGGGACAATAAGTCCAAGATTCCATGAGTCCGGGAATTAATCTTCTGAAGAATAGGGTTATAAAGACGCTTATTAAAGGGAAACAGAGAACAGGTTTTCTTCACAGCTGCGGGATCCCGGTGATTTGCCAGTTTTCAAATGTTGTAGAGCATTAATTATTAAACGTTCTGATATTGACAAGTTTATCCCATTTTCTACAGTCATCACAGTCTATTGTAGAATGGTCTTCTAGAACATATGCAACATCTTTATAAAATGAGTGATTTGAATTTACTTGCGGATTTAAAAGTTCTCTGAAGTAGGCAAGTCAATCATCAGCAGTGATGGATGTGGATCCCAGCTACCGTCTATAGCAATATTTCTTGATTGTTTTCCAAAAATAATTTATAAACTTTACTTTTCTTCAGAGACAGACTTTTCATAATAAATCTTTCTTCTTTTACAAGTTTTTGGCGTTTAAATACTCAATACAATGTTCACTATCATTCGTAAACTTAACCCTGTCAAGAAGGACATATTTTGTACGTTTCAGTGTCTCGCATTCCCTATCAAACCAGTGTGGCTGATGTTGGTGTAGTTTGTTCCGTCATCGTGCTTCATGATGCCCCATAATTTATATAAAACTATTTTTAAATAGGTCTTGTAAAACTTCTACAGCAGAGTCTAAATTTGTGTGTAATTTATTATCACATAATGTTGCAAAATGGTCACTGCAACTATCGACAAAGTTTACAAACTCATCCCATCGTGCTTACTCCCACCGAAAACTGTCTGTGTTGTGAGATGACTGACATATCCTTACCTTGCATGAACCTAGCTGGCAGGTGTATAACCCTTATCTTATAAGTATGTACCCTGGCAGACAAATCTTCACCTTACATGTACCCTGCAGATCTTACCTTACATGTACCCTGGCAGATCTTACCTTACATGTACCCTGGCTGACCTTACCTTACATGTACCCTGCAG